TTCAAGTGAAATCACTATTATGCCCCTTTTTTCTGGTTTTCTCTCTCTCTCCATTGCTGTCAGAGCTGTTTGCTGTCCCACCTCTGGGCTGGAGTGCTGAGCAGGCAGACACACACACACACACACACACACACACACACACACTGAGCCTTTAACTGTAACTCTCCAACTCCATAGCTGCCTGCAGCCCCACCCGCCTGTCCTCTGATGGCCTCCCACTCATGCCACATTAAACATTTAGTAAGGCACTCTGGATCTGTGTGACACCATCTTTTAGCGCCGCCAAGCTAACAGCCTTCACTCTGTGGAAAAAAACATAGGTACACGCCTGTCAGTGGAAACCTGATATAGCGGTTGCAATGTTCCCTCTGCCCCTTCCTGTCCCTTTTATTTACCTACAAGTGCAAACTCTCAGTTACAAGGTTGTTTCAGAGAGACCTTTGGGTTCAGATGAAGACCATCTTTCATCAACAAACACATGAAGAGTGTTGTTGTTCGTTTGTGCAGCAATTCACCAAGGTTTTAAATACATTAGCTTATCAACATGATCAAAAAAGTTAATTTAGTTCAGTTATTCAGTTAAAAAAACAATAATAAAAAGGAAAACTGAAGTTATACTTTCTAAGAAACTGAATTTTAGTTGATCACATATTGATATTTGGTCTTGTTTCATGTGTGTATTTGCAAACTGTAATTGCGTTTTCCTTATAAGATGCCTTTCCACCCATATCGGTGAAGGAACTGTCCCTATGTGGATAATGATAACCTTTTAGCAGCTTCAGTCGGCATATTCACAAGGTTATTGGTTTTTTCTCCATGTTGATTCATGCATTTTCGCATCAAAACAAGTTGATGTTTACAACACAGCAGACATCTCCTTTCTGAGCACTATTATGGCCACGTATTCCAACTGTATGCTTTTATTTCAATAAGTTGAATTGTCCCTCTCTAAATGCTTAAATCAGGGATGAAGCACACGTTTGTTGCTCTGTAGCTTTCTTACTGTATCTTGGCTAATTTGTTTTTATACACCATGAAGTGCAACTAATGTCATTTTACCTCAAACAATCCTCATGTAGTTAAAAATAAATTATCTATGTTTGTATAAAGTACGTGTAAATATCCAGTTTAATCTGTTCTTTTCTGATCATATTATACATTCTCGAATGTATCTGTAGGCCGATGTTGGCAGAGTACAGAACAAGTCTCAGATTTATCCAACAAATGTGAGAGAAAAAAATGACAAGAACTAAAATAATATCAGTGTCGCAAGCAAATGTGCTTGCATTTAATAAAAATGTATGAAAATGTGAGAGTAACAAGGAATGACAAAATATAATTTAACTGCTAATTAGAAAATAAGAAGGTTAGCAGAATTATGATTAATGTATATTAATACCACAATTTATCAGGGAGTATAACAGCACAAGGAAGCAAAGAACAACAAAAATATATCAATAAAGGACTATAAATATATTGGGGTTTTTTTAAAGGACAAAACCCAACCAATAACTGACACAATGCAAACATGATGATTTATATCAATTCTGCAGTAATAAAAGAGTTCAAAGGATATTTTAAAGATAAAAGGAGTTTTGGTGATGCTTGACTGTCAGACCCTTATATTTTTTTATTTTACTTAAATTCCCTTTAGCCTATCTACATAGAGCCAATTTGCTACCAATATCCAACTCAATCCAACTATTATTTAGATTACTCCCATTAGGGAATCCAGCCTAATCCATCATAGAGTCAGGATCAGGCCCAATAACATATAGTTTAATTCAATTTAAGTTATAATGAAATACAGTAATATTATTTAAAAAAAAGAAAATTATATTTTGCAAAAGCTGCAACATGAATGAATACAAAAAGACATACAACAACCTACTTTTAAAAATGTTAAAAAGGTAAAATTATGTTATATAGAGCCTAAACTAAATAAAAAATAACTCCATAGAGAAACAAAGTCACCAAGATATTGTAATCTGATCACCTGAAATCATATTTGCCCGGTCTGAGGAATGTCTTTGTTTCTAAGGAGATAAGAGTGGCCTTCTGCCCTCTTGGCCTATCTTAAAGTATGTGGCTACTGCAGAGAGCAGCTGCCTAAGGGTTGGGTGTATCCCAGTAATTGCAGTAAAATGCTGTTGGGGTCTTCTATGCAACAGTTGGAGCATGTAAGAACAGAAAAATGCTTGGACTTCGAATTGTTTTCATGAAGAGACTTGTCCACTGATGGAGACAACATAGAGGGTTTAAGTTATCTCATTCTTTTGCTGCTTTTAGCAGACAAACAAGCTGAAATGGCAAGTAGGAGGGTGTGTGATGCCGGTCCAACTGCTGTTACTACTTGTTAGTTCTAGTTAGATACTTGGATGCAGTCTTTCTACTTGTCGCCACATCGAAAAGCTGTCTTTTAACACTAACCTGTTGAAGATGGTACAAGATGCTAAAGGGCATGGAGTATTGGGAATGTTTACATGGCGAAGAACCAACAGATGAAATGGCTTTAATGCAATCATTCACATCATTTGTTTTCCATAGACTTAAAAACAAGTACCAGTAAATCTATTGGGCTATGTACGGGCGAGAACTGGGGTATATCCTGGACAGCTCGCCAGTCTGTCGCAGGGCAACACAGAGACACAAAGAAACACAAGTACGCTCACACACACACCTAAGGACAATTTAGGAAAAACAATTAACCTAAAGGTCAAGTTTTTTGGACTGTGGGATGAAGCCGGAGTACCAAGAGAGAACTCATGCATTCACGGGGAGAACATGCAAACTCCATGCAGAAAGACCCCAGACCCGGAATCAAACCCTGAACCTTCTTGCTGCAAGACAACAGCACTACACACTGCGCCACTGTGCAGCCCTTCTTTCAAGCACTGTATACAGAAACTATCACTATGTGGCATAAAGTTTGTCATTTACAAGGCATTACTGATAACAAACAATTTTAGACAACACTTAGGGCTAGACATGATCAGCATCAATATCCAGGTAGGATGTAGTGTCTAGGGGGAGTGGTAGCCCAGTGGTTATAGCAGGGTGTGCTTGTGCCTAAAATAAGCTGCAGTTTTCCTGGTTTAAATCCAACTTACTGCAACTCCGGGCTGTTAAGCAAGACCCTCAGACATAGAATACTCCCTATTTGTTCTGTTGTGTATTCTGAACAGGTGTTATGCATATCTTAGTTTATTAAAGAATGTGTTTGAGTCTTATTGCCTTCCTATCATCACAAAACAGTCTGCAGGTTGTCTTCTAACCACTAACAGCAGCAAGTCCATTTTGTCCACAAAACTACAGCTTTTCTATTCTGACCAGAGTCCATTAGCCTAAGAGGTGGCTTTGAATGAAAATACTCGGACTCACCTGGTGGGCGCCTATAACCAAGCCACACTCAAATTGCCTCAATTAGCCTTTCTTCACCATAGTACCGGTAATACTCAGCTAGAACTTCAGCAATCTGTCTTCACCATGTCTAGATGCGTAAACGCAGGCTCGGACTGGGAACGATTTTCGGCCCTGGCATTTTTCCATCTACACCAGCCCACTTATGGACCACCCCCCCATAACAAAAAAAAAAAATGTGAAGCTCAGTCAAACGCATGCATCTCACATGTGAAAGACAATACGAATACACATTGTGGAGTAACCGATCTATCTTCAAGCATCACACGACAACCATCACCAAGATGGTTCCATAATGAAGTTTTACTGGCTTTGGTTATTAACACGGATGCAACAGTGACTGCTGCTGCATAACGTCCACACTTGCACAAAGCCAGCCAGACACACACTCACACATACTAAGTCTAAAACGTAAGCTTGAGTGTTGTAAAAACACCAATATAAAACAATAGAATATAGAGGCAGACAGGCAGTTCTTCAAGAATCAATACATGAAAGCTCAGCGGTGTTTAAGCATTCACTGCCAGTCTAGGTGGCATGTGGGCAATGGAATAATGAATAATGTAAACAGATGCAAAACCCCATCATGCACTGTATTTTTGCAAAATATTCGAACAGTAGTTTAGTTTAAAGTAAGTATTTTAGTTTTTATTATAATTTAGTTTGTTGTAAGTCATTTACAGTTTGAAGAAATAGATAATCACACCATACGCCAACCGTCACAAGGATGTGCATGACAAGGAAGGGCTATATTGCATGCATCATTTAGGTAGTTAACACTGTATTACTTCTTGAGCTCTTGAGTTATTTACTGTCACAGGTAGGTGCTTTGGCCGAAGAGTAAGTGTTGGGGCCGGTATGATTTAGGGAGGGCCAGCCCTTGCACACTGAAATTAGGACCGGCCAGATTACCAGTCCGAGCCTGCCTAAATGGATTGAATGTAAACCTAAAGAAGTGGCTAGAGAGTGTATGTTCAACAATATGACCTGAAAATATTTCACATTATTCCAATGTTTGGTGTTGTAACATGTAGGTTTATGTCTCTTTGCTTGTTGTCAGGAAAGCAAACAGTCAGAAAAAGAATGAGGAATGAGGAAAAGCAGGGTTTTTCTTTACTCTTTGCCCTAAAGCATGCTTGTTTCGTAACCTGTCTATAAGGATGAGTCTGCTGCAGTGAGCTGTGACTCCCAGGGGTTGGGTGTATCCCAGACAGTGCAGTAAAATGCTGTTGGGATTTTCTTTGGACTATCTGAGGCAAGAACAGAAAAGGGGCTGGAAACTGCTTTTTTATTTATTTATTTTTTTCCTATTTCATTTATAGTCAGTCAATGCACCGTCCATCTTGCCTTTTTTCAATTCATCGAGCTCTATATGCTGTCCAAAAAAGTAAGTAAGAGACACATTTCAAAGCACCTCACATTTTCAATGACTTCATTAAAACTGGAGGCGCTGGTCTCATGCCGCACGTGCCAATTCTCGCGAGGATTTCATCTCCCCTTTTTACGAAACACACACTCACACACATCATCATCATCATCACCACCACTCCTCCCCCCTGCCCCTCCCTTTCCGTATCTGCTCGCCTCTCTCCTCTCTCTTCAGTCTTGCTTTGCCTGTCAGAAAGGTGCTCCACTACCGGAGGCTAGGCTACCCTCCTCTCGGACCCCCCTCCCCCGTGCGAGAGCCAGCCGCTATCGAATCCCCCCCCTCCCCTCTGCCCAAGGCTCGGGCTCCCCACCCCTCTTTCTCACGGGTCCAACCATGGCGACCACCGCTACTTCCACCCGGTTCACCGATGAGTACCAGCTGTACGAGGAGCTCGGGAAGTAAGCAGCATCGTGTTTGGCTTGTCGTTTTGTCCCCCACCCCCGCAGCAGCACCACTGAAAGCAGCCTTGCTTGAGCGTTATTTCTAAGTAGCAAAAGCGTAGCAGTTTGTATGTAGCATAAATAACACATTTTTAGTTGGTTTTGTTTATTTTTGTGGAACTGGCGCCGTTATTGTGGGCTTAAGTAGCCAGTCGCGCGCTGTCGGCTAATCGAACTAGCATCTCCCGCAGTAACGGTTAGTAGCCCACGAGCTACAATGGCTGATATTGATAAACTAGCCGAGTTAGCCCGTTACTGTTTCTCCTGAAAATAGATGGTAAATACACATTGGGTCTGGCTGCAGTGACAGCTGTTTGCCCTTCCGTGTTCGCCAGCCGGTATTTTCTGGTCTGTTGAAGCCGACAGCGGGGCCCCGGGAGACTCCGGAGTCGCAGCCCTCTGACATTTAACCGGCCCACGGCTCTGGTCTGACAGCTCCGTGCGGGCTCCGTGTACCTGCTGCTAACTAGGCCGGCCTCTGGATATCTATCCCCCCTCTTGAATAATTTGTGTAACTGTGCAAAGTTGGGCTGCGTACCCCTGAATCTGTAAGGGAGGAAGTTGTGCTAGGGGGTTGTGTGTGCAGTGTGATGTCAGTTCACTGATGCCACCATCAGTGTTGTCAATATAAGCCTTCTCCTCATGGATCTATCATACAGCTGCTTCTCAGCTATTGTCGTCCTTTACTGGGTAGGAGGCAGGGGTGTGTATTCTCGGTATTGTGATGACTGTTACACACAATTATGTGACCCAAATACTTCACCAATTGGAATTTTATTGCCACTGCTAAATGTTTTTATCGACCTTTGTCACAAAGACCTTACCCTGAATAGTGCTTAACACCGTTACTCATTTTTATCAGTAGAAATATTGGATACATGCATTTTACTACGAGTGATAACTTGTATTTACTGCTATTTTGTTGTATTATCTGAATATCAAGTAATCCCTCTAATAACCTAATATTAGAAAACTGAGCTGGCAAAGTTGGCATTTATTACCGGTAACTGAAATATTTTTATGAGAGATGTTTGCTTGACATAGGTTTGCATTAATTGTATATTTAATACAGCCACATGAAAGAAACATTTGTAAACTTTAGCTAAACTGAATAACATTACCTAAAAATGTAATCTCAAATAAAAATATTGATGTAGGCAGATTGTTAATATTGTTATAGATTGTAACAAAGCAGCCAACATTAGCAAAGTCATCTAAAAGAGCACTGAGACATTTCAAATTAAAAAGTTCATTTTTGTAGGTTAAAATTTATGTACTTGAGTAATTTGTGTTCTTGTGTTCATATATATATATATATATATATATATATATATATATATATATATATATATACACATTAAAAAAATTATCTGCCCTTATGATAATAGATGGATGAATGTCAGGTAATTTATTCGTAGACTCATTTTTAAAGGTCGGGTTTGTTATTGTTAAATATCAAGTTGACATCCTGTTATTAATCTTTAAGGACCAATTTGTTGATGGATCCCTGTTCCAAGCAATAGAAATTGAAATTCGACATCTTCCACAAGGTGTGGGGTTTGTTAAGTGCTGGATAAGAAAACCAGTTTCACAGCTTCTGGCCTTAATCAAAGGTGTTTAAAGTCACTGATTTGTTGGTGTGAGCCAAAACTATGGCAGTAATTTGTAGTTAGTTTTTTTAAAGCAAACAATAAACTAAATGTCTTCATACTTAGAGCAGAAACTTGGCAGTAATAAAAATAAAAGTTGCATTTGTGGATCTTGTATATGCTCCTCCCAAAACTCCCAAACAATTCCTATACACCAATCTCGGGCTAGGAAATTCATTTCATTTTAATATCACAATTTACCAAAACACAGTTTTTTTAAATTCACATTCAGTTTTAACGCACTCAAAGTTTTGGTCCTAATTTTTTTTAGCAAAAGTTGACTGCTCAGAAAGGCAGTCAACCTGGTTTCTGAGCATAAAGCAGGCTTTAGTTTGTCACTTTTCAAAGACATTCCTCAGACCTCACTTATGATGTTCTCAGATCTATGGTTGTACCCATTGTTCTTGAGTAAAATCACTTGAATGAGCCTTTTCTGACACTCCCCACTACTAAATAGGCAATAAAATGTAAGATTCGTGTTTTGTCATTGTATACTCAAAGCTGCAATATCCGCATCTTGTGGGAAATCAAAAATTTTGTTTTTCGGGAAATATTTAAGAATTATTTACTTCAGATTCAATCAAGATGATTTCTGTGGATTTGAACTAGAAAGGATCAAATGCAATCCAACTTCCCACTGCAAAATCTCCCTTTAATGTAGTGCTAATAGACTACATTAGTTCTTTGAAATCATTGGTCAGTTTTCTATGACCCTCTACCTTCTTTAGTGGTCTGGTTTTCGAGTGCTGTTGTCCAGCCAGCTGAGCAGTTTGTGAGCAGACCCCATCAGCCCAACAACAACTCAAGATCTGCTTCCTGTCTTATTTCCAAATAAAGGTCTAAAACATAGACCATTTCAAACTTTAGAAATTCAACTTCATACTTTCAGAATCCCACAGGTTGCAGACATAGATTTGGTCACTATCTACCCAGGATTTGCTAAACTAGAAGCAAAGGAACGGCAGAATAAACACACATGTTTCTAAAACATAAGGAAATAAACTTATTGCGCCCTCCCTGCAAAGGTCCGAAATGCACGACGATACAGCCATGTTAGCCGAACCGCCTAGCCACCAACTCTCCCTAAATAGCTTTATCCACTGTTTTTCCTCCAGGTCAGAAGAAGTTGATTGGATGGAAGATAATAGTCCTTCAGACTGCAAGTTTCCTTAGTCAAGTTTCCTTTGTCATTCTGTATTTGGAGATTGGTTAGAAGTGTGATAGATGTAACTCGATTTTACTCGATTTGGGGAATAAAAACGGGCTCTTTTGAGAAAAACGGCAAATTCAAAATTAAGTTTTAGTCGGTTACATTGTTTCGTTTGATTATAATTTGGTGAAAAATAAATATTTTGTTATATTTCACAAAGAATTGATTTTAGAGATGTTAAAAAGGGTTTATTAATTTTTGTAAGTAAAGCACAGGAAAAAACACACCCTTTTGTAGATTGGGTCAAAATGTACAGAACCAGATGCTTAAAGGAGAAGTTCGGTTTTTTACACTTTAAGCCCATTTTCTGTAGTGTCCAGGATGAAATCGAATGATCGACACCAAAAGTTTGACAATTGCTCCTGTCTCTGCTTTTTGGCTCATTTAGAATCACCCCCTGGCTGCTTTAGAATGGCTAGCATAGAGCATGTCCGATAATGTCCTTAAAACAACCTTAAACGTTCTTTTTTTAAAATATGCTACTCACCGTGTCGTCAGCGCTGTTCAATGACGTTCCAAAAAAAGTTTCGTAAAGAAAAAACGTTCCTGTAGTGTTTTATTTAGCATTTTGTAAATCCCATTGAGTTCTGTAGGAATAGTCAATAGTCCGCTGCCACCGGAAACGGAAATGGGGCCTGTTTACACAGTTGTAGTCTTTTCGCTTCACTCTGTGTACTCCGACATCGAGGTGCTAACGTCTCTGTTAAACACTTTAAAAAACTCTGACAATGGAATACGAAAGGTGGATTCTTGATTCTCGACGTCGGAGAATCAAGAATCGGGGGCGTGTAGCAGTTCTCGCCGTAAAGCAAGACTGACTCTCACGAGACTTCTGAGCCTGTGGGTGCGGGTCGGTGCTCCTGCAGTTGCAAGTGCAGTATTTCCCCCACAGACCACCAGGGCGGCCGAGAATACCTTTGTTCAACCTGAAATGACTCATTTAATCATCCATAACGTTATGGAACACATTAATTAACTGAAAAATGTTGCATAGTGTGCCTTTAAGGTCTGAATTGCAAGTTCCATTTTGGACTAAATCTGATTTTGTAAAAAAAAAAAAAAAAAATTGAACCTACTACCTAATAGTACTTATTGTTGTTAAGCTAATAAGTTAAAGGTACAGTGGAGGATGTTCTTTTTCTCAGTGGATCCTTAAAATAAGCCCCTTATTTTGATGATCCATTTTCACTTACCGGTGGTGAGTCTGAGTGAAAAAATTGCAAATCCTCTTATGCAGAGTAAGCTTGTATGAGCGATGCAAACAGCAACTTTTACACGGAGCATGTACGAGGAGAAATGGGGTCCTGAATGCTCTTGCACACGTTTGAAAGGCGTTCTCCCTTAGGAGCGGGCACAGGGTTGTGCATGTGCATCTTTTTAAGCGGAGAGGGCAGGTCTCATCTAAAATTTGCGGAAGTCCTCTTCAATACCTTAGGTCAGTAAATACAGCCACAGATTCTCTAAACCTAATACATTTTTTTATTGCATATTAGTTTGAAAAATAGTATAATACATCTTTGTGCTATTTAAAAATAAGTTTTGTCTTTTTAGAGAGGTAGCTCCTAATATTTTTCATGATAACAAATGCCAAAAGAATTAGTTATTGCCAATATTACTGATAAATAATATCAGGCTTAAAGAGGGAAAACTTGTTTATCCTAACCTTTTCCAACCCCACAGAGTAATTCTTCCTACGCTTCACATAAATAAAAGTTCAACAAAAAAAAAAAAAAACACATTTTGTGACTGATATTTTATTTTCCTTTTAACCATAGACACCACCAAAATTACTGCTAATAAAAATAACATCAAGACAGGAAGCCGCATAGAGTGGCTGCCCACGCCGCACCTGTCAGAAGCCCATGTTACTGGAAAGTGCAGAGTTTGGGTTTTAATTTGAAAGGATGCTTGTGTGGCTAATAGAAGAGTGTTGCATGGACTTGGTGTATGTATTTTTTATATAGCATCCATTTGTTTTTATTTATTTATTTATTTATTGCTGCTTAGAGGTGAAATGTGGTATTTTGGTAATTTTTGTTGGTGGATGTGCAAAATCCAAAACAAGTTCGAAGCATAAGGGAAGACCGGTCTTCAGACCTCTAACCGTGTAGCTGTTCCTTCTTTGCTCAAACAATGCAAAGAAAATCCGACTACCAATGTAAGGTGTCTGCCCTTATTTTTACTGAAATTACCGTCAGCAGCAGCTGGAGGAGGAGGACGAGGACACTGCTCCTAGAGATATACTGCCCTTTATTTTCAGCTGCCATACCCACTCTATGCCCAGCAATTTAGATAAATCAATGGCACCAGTTGCCCAGCTAGTATACATACCTACATTCTGTCCAAGGTGGATCTGGCCTCTGATTCTGCTTTGGACTCATCTCAGCGTTTCTTATGTTAATGTATTATACCATTTCTTCTTCTGACACAGTTTATTACCATCGAGGGACTGGCTGGTACTTGTGTCACCTGTCAGCTTTCATTTGCTCTTAAATAATTGAAGCTATGGACAGAGTGCAGCAGAAAGTAGCAGCAGGTTTCGTGTCATCAGGAATAGTGAAAAGTTGCCTTCAGATGACGGGAAAGCTGGAGGATTTGCTGAATACACAGGCTGCTCCAGAAGGCTGTGTAATTATGTTCTCCCCAAAATGCATGCAGGGCACTTCTCTAGGTCAAAGCGAAACTCTTGCTTTTGTGTTTTAGCATATTTATATCAGTGAATTAATAACTTTTTTTTTCTTCTATAGCCATGGTGTGTTTGCTTTTACAAAGTTTATTGAATTGTATTTATATGAAAGAATACCAGATGTGATATTACTGCTGATTATCTGAGCTGATGCCTTGATAGTAATGAGTACAGTTACAAACAAACCACTCTGACTAGACTAAAGCACAGCTTCAAATGTCACACTGGTGAATGTGCTAGGGAGCGCATGTGAAAAGGAACTAATCTTTGGTTGTTTGTGCCCTTTGTTCTTAGGGGAGCTTTTTCAGTGGTGCGTAGGTGTGTAAAGAAGTCATCGGGACAAGAGTATGCTGCAAAAATTATCAACACTAAGAAGCTTTCTGCAAGAGGTATGGTATTCCCAGGCACGCACACTCGACGCAGACACAAATAACGCGCATGCATGATTTGATTAGTTAGCTTTAAGTGTGAGAAATTGGTTTTGCTAAACAACTCTCTGCTCAATCAGAAAAATAACTAAAAGTGAAACGCAAGTGTTTGTACCGCTGAAAATAAATGCTGTACAATCCTATCAAGGTTTTAGTTATTTGATTCAAAAAGTGAAACTCTTACACAAAGAGGGATATATTCATAGATTTGGCCTCTATTGCTATGGGGAAAAAAACAGTTTCCCATTAATGCATATATTCTCTAAGACTACTGAAAAATGAAATGTTGACCTAGCCTAAAATCAGTCCAAGCATTGCTCAGTAAATACATTCAGCATATTGACTGCACTGTAATTGTATTAATTACTGCTGCAATATTAAGTGTCTTGGGAAATGTGAGCCTGTGGCTCTAGTGAAATGTTAAGCTAGGCCAGGTTGCTTTTATGGCATTCTTTAGGTTGTCTGCACTGAGCAGCCAGATCCCATTGTCATCAAACCAGGGGTTACTGCTTGTATTGTGGACAGGTGCCAAGTCCTGCTGGAAAATGAACTCTGCATCTCAATAAAACTTGTGTGCAGAGGGAAACATGAAGTGCTCTTAAATGTGCTAGTAGATGGCTTGACGACGATAAAGTGAGGACCAACAGCAGCAGATTACGCAACTCCCCAAATAATCACAGACTGTGGAAACTTCACCCACAGATCTGAAGTAATCTGGATTCTGTGCCTCCCTTGTTCAGACTCTGGGACCCTGATTTCTAAATAAAAGGATTTATAGTTTGCTGGACAGCCGTCAAATAAGCAGTCCTCTCTATTATTCTCTAAAGCATAACAAAAAAATTCAGTTTTTAAAATATTTTGTGAAAAATCAAACTTTTCTAAAAAAAATATACATTTCACATAACCATTAGGTCTAAAAGAAAAAAAAATCCTCATAAGTAACACAAAATAATCTATTCAGCACTATATCACAACGTAGAGTTACTTTATATTTTCATTTTTTTTATATTAATTTAATGAGTAAAATTTTTACTAACATTCTGATGAACTAAGACATATCTGAGCCAGTTTACCTTGATTTGATTAGTTTCCAGGTAATGCAGCTTTAATAGAATAATGAAATGATGGGTTCTGCATGCATTGCAGTATCCGTTTAAACAGCTTTAATTGAACAGCATTTACTGCAATCTGTACAATTGAATGAGAAAGGAAAAAAATCCAACAGTTCAAACAGCAGAGGAAATCTTTTATTAAGCTGTGTCTCACTGGTGTTATCAGCAACTTTCTAATGGTTTATTGATGCTTTTTATAAACCCATAATTAAATAAGTTGCTGTAGTGGCTTCTTTGTCGTATAATTAATCGACACAGGCTCCTGCTTTAAAGGCGGCAGACTTTAGGGCCAAAATTCAGCTGTAAGATATTAACATCTGTTAATTTAAAAACATAGATTTCTTCATAGTTTTCAAACCCACCTTGCTTTCTTCCATTAGCTTCGCACCTCTCTCTCAATGCTCGTCTCTGGTCTTTCTGTCAAGGGGGATTGGTTTGTATTGAGGCTAATCCACTTATGTTCAATGTATCTTCATCAAGCACTAAGACCCCAAAGACTCCATAGGCGCCTCCCTGTTTGCCCTGTTGTTGACTGTGATGGTATTTGTCCGCATGGAGACGAAGAGAGCAGAGTGATGCTAATAGAGCATGTCTGTTTGGTGGGAGCTTGTAATGCTATTATTGTTTCATCCGTACCATCAAGTGTCCACATAGTGCAGCTTCTTGTATTAATGTCCCAGCCATGAAAAGTAAGAGCTCAGCAGAAAGCTGTGGGCTCTTTGCAGAGGCAGAGGTGTGTCTGTGTGTTTGTGGCTGTCTACTTGGAGAAGAGGATGAATTGTAAAAGCCTAGCCCTGCATATTTAGTGAGACCTCTCACCAAAGAAGCGAGATAAAGTGAAATCAAATAAGAGATGTGTGAGCAGGTTTGCTTTGCACTTGGAAAATAAGAATAGGCAGCTTTAGCGAACAAAAGTCCAAGTTCTCCACCTTGTAGAATTTGGGTGGTGTTTATTTTTATTATTGTTTTGTATTTATTCCTACGCGGCCTGGTGGATAAGTCTTTCAAAGCTCTAGTAAACACTGCAGTAATCTGTGAAAGGGGGAGGGGAAGGGAACTAAAGAACAAGCCAAGAGAGGGTGTGATTGATTTCTCAACAGAATCACTGATTTTATTAGTTATGTATAAAAAAAAAACCCTAAATATAACACTATTTGATAACATTTTAAGGTTGATGGGGGTATTATTATTTTAATGTGCAAATAATATAGAAATCTAAAATTATTGATAGCAAAAATATGCAAACATCACTTGTATTTAGTGTTGAAACCATGTCAAATTAGCATTGTATCTGAACACTGCATGGTACTTTTAAGAGTATCCATACTCTTTCTTTAGGCATGATTTTGCTGGAAATTGTGCTGAATTTCAAAAATTTAGAGCAGCACAAATTCTAAACAGTCTTTATATTAATATTCACTGATATTATGATTATAATAAATTTGTGAAACTTGTATTGCTTCAGGGAAAGCGGTGACTAGAGGAGCAAAGCGGTCCACCTGGTCTTCTCTCTTTAAATAAAAGCAATTACATGTTATGGATTTACTTTTTACATCTTTGTGCATCTAATGCAGTTTCTGCAGGCGTTATAAAGGTTATATCATGAGAATCATTAAACTGGCCCAAGTAAATCAGTTACTTTGACATGGCAGCACTAAAAGGCAGAATGAATGCTCTAATGTAGTTGTTGAAGTGACACTGGCAGCTAAGGCCTTGTTGCATTGTCTGCTGCGACTGTGCTGAGTCGGAGATAGTGAGACTTAACATGGGGGAGGGGGGTTCATGCGTATCTGGATCAAAACTATAATCATAATGACTATAATACATTAACCTTACTGTATGTAGTAATGTATGAATTCAGTATATTAACTGAATCCCCACAGCATTCCTATAATTTTACCAAAAAGAAGTCAGAAAGACGTGAAGTCATTCAAACAGGTAATTATTTTAATGCAACTATATGAGGGGAAACGAAACTTGAGTAAAAAAATATATTTAGATTATATTTATATCCTGTTTTGTAATCCAGAATCATTGGCGTCTTTATGCATGCATTATACATTATCTGTGGGAACATAGAACAGGTTTCCTCTCTGTTCTTTTTGCTCTGATTGCATGCAGGGCTTTCTAGATGACATTCCTTCTCCTACCTGTGAGACAGCGCTTAGGGAATTAGGGAGACTCACTGCAGCTCTATATGCTGTCGCAAGACCAGAGCAGTAGAACGATTGCTGCTTGCATGTGAAGTCACTAAACTTCCTAAAAGCACAGAGATTTGTCTGCAATTGATTTTTTTTTAAATAAAAGTTGCTAAAAGGGTCTGAAATGTTCTCAAATATTGTGACAAAGTTACTAAGTTGGCCTGTCATTTCTATTTTATTTTTTTACTACCAAGAACAGCAAAGCACACTCCAGCCACCAGTTTGACTCATACCCCAGCTAGCTTCACCGCAAGACAGATGGGAGGAGGCCCTGTTGTTTTTTCAAAATGCACCCAATATTAACATTTCATGATGCTTGAATTGAATTCAAACTCTTATGATTAAAATAGTAGTGTTTGAACGTTTACCTCTGCCTTTAACCCATCCCTTTGGGGAGCAGTGGGCTGCCATTGTGCAGTGCATGGGAAGTAGTGTGGGGTTAAGGTTCTTGTTCAGGGACGCAGAGCGGCAGTCTGCGAGAGTTGAACTCAGAACCTCTGGCACCAAATTACAATGCTCTAACTATTAGGCTACAATTCCCTCCAAATAAGTGCGCAGGCATACAGTATGCTAAATCATATGCTTTACATTGTTTTAACACTTTGTTTGTATTCATTCTGAAGGTGTGGCGATCAGTTAGATGTAGCGGAAACTCTGCTCTGACACTCTAATTGAAGATTATAAAATTGAAGTACTTGTTGAAGTTCATGAATTTTAAATTTTACGCCATTTAAGCCAAATTCAGGTTTATTAAAACCTAATGTAGTAACATTTTGATAATATTGGTAACAGTATATGCTTTTTTCCCTCCCCTCTCAAAACAGAAATTGCAGATGCACCAGCTCAACTGTGTTTTATGTCTTTAAATCAGTGGTCATTTCTTATTAGTGGAGCCATTACATGCTTTAATCCTTCATTGCAATTTATCCAGATTTCAAATATGCACAGACTCTATAGAAGGTTTCTAATATTGGACACTTAATTTGTTTTCTTTTTAAGTTTAAGTTTGTTTTAGTTTTTTTTCTCAGAGAAATTACAAGAAATGCCTCTCTTGTCGTATACACTAATCCAATGCAGATCAATGCATTTGTGTTTAGGCAAATAAGGACCTATACAACTATCTTTAGTGAGAATGCCAAACCTTGTCCCTGAATTACTGCCATACTATCAGTATTGACTCTCCTCAGCTGTTCTGACACTATTTCCTCATCCTAACAGCTTGGATCAAACTCACCCAAAACAAGCTTGACTGAGCCTTCAGCTGAACTGTCAACTTTGTGTGGCTGATAAAGGGGTGTATATGCATGTGTGGCATTCTCACCATCCTTCCCCGCTAATCTAAGATGGCTTTGGGCCTTCCCAGTGGCAAAGCAGATGGCCAATTAGAGAGCAGCAGGAAGTGCCAGTAATTACCCCGCAGCCCTTTCTTTCCCGTCTTCCTTTACCACACTCTCTCTCACACCAACAAATAAGAAGATTGAATGAATTAGTGCTGCAGCGACGCTGCGCCGTGGTAGACCGTTTTACAAACACACACACATCGAAGAACTGTGATCCTCTTCCAGCAAATGGACGCTTCACGTAATCCTCTATCTATTTCTCTCCCCTTCTCTCCATCCTGCGTCACCGCTGTAATTAGAAGGTGGTTCAGGTCTCTATTGCCTTCAGTCGTTTCCTCACATTTTTAGAGAGATTTACACCTAGAGGGAGATTATTTGAAGGTACATGTAAAGCATACTTAAAACTACAACCCCCAACTTGTCAACCCTTTAGTCAAAAATAATTAAAACAAAGTGTAGAGTTTGCTACTTGATGCTGTTAGAAACCAAAAATGGTAAAATGCATATAGACGCTGTGCAAGGGCAGTGAGATAAGTGAAAGTTGATGGCATAACTGCAGTGAATTTTATCAGGGGTTGTTGCTGCTCTGGGGATATGAATGCAAATCTTAGTCAGCCTCTCTCTGTGTCTGTGTCATGTAATCGCCATGGAGCTGTGGGGAGTTAGTTGGCTTAACCACAGTGATGGCATACACACATCTACACCCAAATAGTGGGTCCTCCACAGCTACGCCACCTGACCCATGACCTCAGCTGCTTCAGGGTTTTGTTTTGTGGTTTCTTCATCCCAGTGGGATTAGATAGTTTATGTGTCAGCTAGTATACAAACCAACATCTCTAAAACTCCTGCAGCAAGCCACAGGATTCAGTTATTTCCACACAAAAAAAGGATGTAAGTTTATTCATGAAGTGGGTGTGTTTTGTTGTTGGATTTCCTCCCAGCTTGAGGAATGAATACCGGTTCTAATGCTGGCTTTCGTAAGATTACTCTCTGCATACATGTTCATAAGCAAATGCTTACTGCAATATGCAGTTTTTTTCTTTGACTATTGATACACCCATCAAAGAAATTAAATTAATTGGATCTTTATTTTATTTTTTTTAACTGCTGGCCTGTCAAGGTAGAGCTGAACCATTTAACCTCCAAAATAAGGATTGTGTGATCTGTTTTAGGTTTAGTCTGTGTTTAAACCAGAGAACTTGAAGTATCTTGCTCATAGGTGAGGGACTGAGCAAGAAATTGATAGAAGGGTTTGATTTTGTCATCTTCTTCTGTAATATGGCCGCAGCTTTTATCAACTAGGGTTAAGAAAGAGCTAGGACAGGAGCATTTCTGTTTTGTTTTGGGTTTTTTTTCTCTATCTCATTCCGCTAAAGGGGAACACCGTTTTTTTTTGTTTTTTTTTTTACATTGGGCCCTTGATTTTACCTTATTACATCATGTTCTACTCACCCATAATAGTTTTGTGTCATTTGAAGCCGTTCTGAAGATATTCTGTTTTTTTTTTTAATATCAAAGTAACGTCTTTCTATGGACAATAAGTTGAAGGCACAAACTAAAGTGTTCTTAATATATTCTTTATGGTACGCCAGCATTCATAACATGTAGGCGAATCACTGTCCCCCAGATATCCGCAATTATATTTTTTGAAAACAAAGCGGAGTGTGTATGACGTCATCCGCGTGCGCCGGTTACCGTTCATTCTTCCTGTCCACTGAACTGCTGCTAGTTTTACTCACATGCCGCGAAGATGTCTAGTGCTACGACCACAGATGATCTCACTCTCGAAATGGAATTGAAGGATTCAGATTAGCTAGCCGAATGAATAGAAGGGGTAGAGCGTAGCCGCCTGTGGCCCAGGCTGCCTGTCACAACTCCAGTCCGGTGCGCGGATGATGTCCTACACACTCCGCTTTGTTTTAAAAGAAATATAAAAAATATAACCAGGGATGTCTGGGGAAAAGTGATTCGCCTACATGTTATGAATGCTGGCGTACCATACAGAATAAATTATGAACAGTTTAGTTTGTGCCTTCAACTTGTTGCCCGTAGGAAGACGTTACTTGGATATTAAAAAAACGAATATCTGCGGAACAGCTCCAAATGACACAAAACTAATATGGGTGAGTGGAACATGATGTAAAATCAAGGGCCCAATGTAAAAAAAACATGGTGTTTCCCTTTAAGGCTGCTACATGGAAGATGAGACATTTATTCTTGATCTTAAAGGAATAGTACACCCAAAACATGATTAGCCTTCATTTTCTACTCACCCCCATGCTGAACAACACTCTGGAGTAATTTTTTGATATCTCAAATACATCTGGAGATCTGGGAGGCTTCTTGCTGTCTGCTGACATACAAATAATGGAGGTGCCCAGCGCCCGAGGCAGAAAGCTCCATAAAAGTCCACAAAAAACGTGTCAATATTCCTCCATACTGCTCGTCCAATGTATTCCAAGTGTCCTGAGTGGGTAGCGTCCATAATTTACTAGAAACGAAGTCATTTAGAATGTTTTTAGAGCATAAACAGTAGTGTATAGGATTTCCTACAAGCGCGCGCCTGCGAGTTCATGAGTCTACGGAAACCGGCAGACCAAACCAGCGCATTCAGCTCGGCAAAGAACTCATGCTCTTCCTCAACACTGAAGTCCTCTGACATTTTTCTTTCGTTGTTTCTTTCTTTGCACAGGTAAACAGCACTTTTCTTCTTCTACGCTTGCATTATTGGCAGAGCAGACGCTGAATCCGCACTTTCATCTGGTTTGGTCTGCCGCGGTTTCCGTAGACTCATGAACTCGCAGGCGCGCGCTTGTAGGAAATCCTATACACTACTGTTTATGCTCTAAAAACATTCTAAATGACTTTGTTTCGAGTAAATTATGGACGCTACCCACTCAGGACACTTGGAATACATTGGACGAGCAGTATGGAGGAATATTGACACGTTTTTTGTGGACTTTTATGGACCTTTCTGCCTCGGGCACCATAGACCTCCATTATTTGAATGTCAGCAGACAGCAAGAAGCCTCCCAGATCTCCAGATGCATTTGAGATATCAAAAAAGTACTCCAGAGTGTTGTTCAGTATGGGGGTGAGTAGAAAATGAAGGCTAATCATGTTTTGGGTGTATGATTCCTTTAAGGTGGCAAGAAAGGGAAATAAGGTTTTGCTTTCCAGTATTCAAACTCCATAAGAAGCTGAGCCCCTCTATAAGATGCAACACTTAAGGGGGGAGGAGTCAACATACATTCCTTAAAGTCTGCCCACTTTTCCAGATTCATCATGTTTGATAATTACATTAAAAGCTGATTTAAAAAGCTCAGAAGGGCAAGACAAAGTTTACTGTAAAATATTCAGCCTTCCTATCTGTTCAATTCATCTCTGGTTCGATTTGGCATATATTTCCCTAAGATATGATGTGGAATCCTATGGATAACAGCTCCTTGCTGCCTAAACAAATAGCCAGCATACCTCCAGCATTAATAGTCTCCTCTGATTTCTTTCTTTACACCTCACTGATATAGAAACCTCAGTCTTATGTTAAGTGTGATTGTTTGTTCTAAGGTTTGGTTATCACCAACAGGAAGACAGTAGGATTAAATGGCTTCTATTAGTGATCAGGGCAGGTCAAGCTGGAAACGTTAAACGTGAGTTGGGAGTCGATTCCTCACTGCATTTAATATAAGAGGTAGATACCATCCAGGGTTGAGATCACACCGAATGTAAACTCGCTGTATTAAAACCATCATGGTATATCAAGGGTTTAAGGGTATTTTTGAAGACGCAAATCAATTCTTTATGCCATTTTAATGGTGTAAAGCCTTTTTTCCTTGAAAAGAAGTGCCATAGAGGTGATATAAATAAAACAGTGAATTTCCCACAGCTGGTGGTATCATGTGCAGGCTCCTGCGTGCTGATCAGAAGTGAGAAAATGCAGCATGGCCATGCAGAGAATCTCGTGCGGAGCAGTAAGAGTGGAAAAAACGGTGCAAACACTCTTCGTAAACATGCCTAATAGGCCTGTCTTGCAGCCTATGGTTTTGGCTCTGATCTTTCCCACTGGTCTGTAAGCAGTAAGAGAAACAGGGTATCAACACTGAAGCCAATCTTGCTCCAGTCACATTGGTGTCTTAGGTTTTCTGTTTGCTTTTTAAAAGAAGTGCTGGTAGGACAGCGAACTTTTCAATAATTTAAAAGAAAATCTGAAATGGTAAAAGTAGGGGTAATGTTTGCTCCCTGTGATTGTACTTTTATGAGACATACCTTAGGATACAGTTTTATTTTTTTTTTAAGTTTAAATCCAATATTTGTTTTTAACTTTCTTCTAACTTTTTCTCTCTTTTTGTTTTCCCCAGACCACCAAAAGCTGGAAAGAGAGGCACGCATCTGTCGTCTCTTGAAACATCCCAATATTGGTAAGTTCCATAATTTAATTATGAATTGTAAGTTTTATTATGCTTCCTTTTCTATGAGTCCTTCAAAAAAAAAAAAGAAAGGAACAGCAGTAAAATGAAAAGCAAAGAGTGCTGATTTTTATATCAAGGATAACAGAAGTTTGGATCTTTTTCTAGAACATTTATCTATCTTTGACAATTCTCAGATTTTTTGCTGAAATGTCCTATTATACATTAAACCTATTATAAGCAGATTTATGACATGTAGAAATGGATCCAAATACTTTAAGTGACTGTTTGTCTAAATCAGTAATTCTCAATCCTGTATTTTCCTCTTTAATCTTTTCAAGTAGTGTAATATAGCTGGATCACCGAAGGCTGTAATTGTCTGTTCAAACATTACCAGGATTGGCATGGATACTGGGCACCAGAACAGTATGTAAATTGGGATTAAGAAGAGAGCTTGTGTCACAGAGCCAGTTTATTTGGGTCTTTCTCTCTCGGTCATCAAACAAGTTATTCACCATCATCTTGTTCCTACTTAGTAAGAAATTTGAACACAAATTGTGTTTGCGTAAAATAATTAGCCTTTCAGAACTATTGTAACCTATTTAAGGTTGTCACATTTGGTCACATTTAAGCTTAATGTATTCAGTGTCTGTGTGAGAGACAAGCAACTTTTTTTTAAATAAAAAATGCAGCTTGCTTTTCTATTTCCCCTTCCTAAATCAATTATGGCTGCAGGTGTTCTGGTGTCATTAGCAGCTTCCCACATCTCGTCACTAAAAACTGTTTCTTTGCTAAAAAGCTCAATCGAAGTTCATTAAGAGTGTAGTTTTAGGTGTGGAATTTGATTGGCTTATTCTAACACTTTGATTTAAACTGATAGTAGCTTTAACTTTGCTTTTGTTTTGCTTTTTTTGTTTATTTATTGGAAAGGAAAGGGTTAAAAGGTGAAAGACATGTGGCAACAGTCAATGGTTTGTGACAGCCATGTTGAGAACTAATGCCCTGTTATATGGGTTACTTTACTCCTGACCTGCCCCTTCACCCCCATAACCTCATTGTTAGAGTCTACCTGCTAGATGATGGACTTCAGTCTTTTTAAGCCTTTAACAGGTTTTCCTTTAGAATCTATCATTATTTAGTTCGATTAAGCCTCAAATCAAGTTTTCCCTGAATATTGTCCTGTTCCATCAAACTATGTCCAGCTTCGTTTTCAATTATAAGAAATATTATACATACAGCATAGTACTGCCACCACCATAACTCAGTGGATGGGGTATCAGTTTTTCTTAAAATGCATTTCTCTGCTCTGCTACAGTCTTATACACCCAGCTGCTCCTCCGTGTACTAAATAGTTAAAGGCTATGGGGATGTTTATTATATAATATATATATATATATATATTTTGCTTTTTATTTTTTTTATATTTGCAGTGCTCAGAAGAAGAGGCACATTATTTTTTAACAAATTATTGTACCAACTGTATGACATACTGACTGAATAAACAAAAATGGTGGTTTCCATTCAGTTTAGACAGTTCTAAAGTGATGTAAAATAGATCCTTTTTAGATTATTGAAAAAAAAAACAAAAAAGGTGAGACAAGATGAGTAGAATGAAATATGTGAAACACCATTATTCCACATGAAAGGAGATGTAAAACTATCAACATTATTCTTGTAGCACATCAGCAGTTTCTGATGGAGAAGTTTACAGGTGCTGGTCATAAAATTAGAATATCATGAAAAAGTAGATTGATTTCAGTAATTCCATTTAAAAAGTGAAACTTGTATATTATATTCATACATTACATACAAACTCATATATTTCAGATGTTTATTTTGTTTAATTTTGATGATTACAAATGACAACAAATGAAAATCTCAAATTCATCATATCAGAAAATTAGAATATTGTGAAAAGGTTCAAAATTGATGGCCCCTGGTGCCACACTCTAATCAGCTAATAAACTCAAACCACCTGCAAAAGCCTTTAAATGGTCTTTCAGTCTAGTTCTATAGGCTACACAATCATGGGGAAGACTGCTGACTTGACAGTTGTCCAAAAGACGACCATCGACACCTTGCACAAGGAGGGCAAGACACAAAAGGTCATCGCTAAAGAGGCTGGCTGTTCACAGAGCTCAGTGTCCAAGCACATTAATAGAGAGGCGAAGGGAAGGAAAAGATGTGGTCGAAAAAAGTGTACAAGCAAGAGAGATAACCGCACCCTGGTGAGAATTGTGAAACAAAACCCATTCAAAAATGTGGGGGAGATTCACAAAGAGTGGACTGCAGCTGGAGTGAGTGCTTCAAGAACCACCACACACAGACGTATGAAAGACATGGGTTTCTGCTGTCGCATTCCTTGTGTCAAGCCACTCTTGAACCACAGACAGCGTCAGAAGCGTCTAAAGAGAAACAGGACTGGACTGCTGGTGAGTGGTCCAAAGTCATGTTCTCTGATGAAAGTAAATTTTGCATTTCCTTTGGAAATCAAGGTCCCAGAGTCTGGAGGAAAAGAAGAGAGGCACTTCATCCACGTTGCTTGAAGTCCAGTGTAAAGTTTCCACAGTCAGTGATGGTTTGGGGTGCCATGTCATCTGCTGGTGTTGGTCCATTGTGTTTTCTGAGGTCCAGGGTCAACGCAGCCACATACCAGGAAGTTTTAGAGCACTTCATGCATCCTGCAGCTGACCAACTTTTTGGAGATGCAGATTTCATTTTCCAACAGGACTTGGCACCTGCACACAGTGCCAAAGCTACCAGTACCTGGTTGAAGGACCATGGTATCCCTGTTCTTAATTGGCCAGCAAACTCTCCTGACCTTAACCCCATAGAAAATCTATGGGGTATTGTGAAGAAGAAGATGCAATACACCAGATCCAACAATTCAGAAGAGCTAAAAGCCACTATTAGAGCAACCTGGGCTATCATAACACCTGAGCAGTGCCACAGACTGATCGACTCCATGCCACGCCGCATTGCTGCAGTAATACAGGCCAAAGGAGGCCCAACTAAATACTGAGTGCTGTACATGCTCATACTTTTCATCTTCATACTTTTCAGTTGGCCAACATTTCTATAAATCCTTTGTTTTTATTGGTCTTCAGTAATATTCTAATTTTCTGATATGATGAATTTGAGATTTTCATTTGTTGTCATTTGTAATCATCAAAATTAAACAAAATAAACATCTGAAATATATGAGTTTGTATGTAATGTATGAATATAATATACAAGTTTCACTTTTTAAATGGAATTACTGAAATCAATCTACTTTTTCATGATATTCTAATTTTATGACCAGCACCTGTATGCTGCTCCACTATGCAGCAGGGTTGAATATGGTTATAACTAAGGAGTTATAACTGTTTCCATTGAACGGTGTAAAATAATCCTGTGCTGGATTGTTTCCCTTTTCTGTAGGGGAACTTGTGGTATCTCAAGTTTCCCCACATACAATAGTTAAAATGAATCCATTGCAACCATGTTGTACACATTTGTATGACAACATTAAAATGTCTGCATCTATTTCAGCCTAAAAGGATTTTTTTCTGCACGGCATGCACTCTAAAGCAACCGACAAACAAAATATGGCGACAGCAGGTGTTTCAGCTGAGCAATATATGCCAGGGGTTTGGATATAACGTTTAGGACATCAAACAAAAGGCAGTAGATTGTAAAACGTGCCGCGAAAACCATTGCTGCAAAAGGTAGCAGTACAAATGTATTCCACCACCTAAAAAGTAATCTACTGCAAAATGAAGAATATTGTAACCCTGCATGTCAACGTCTCCCCGTACACCAATGAAAACGTAAACTAAATCATCTGTGGAGCAGATGATGTTGGCCTCGTTTGAAAAAGCGATCCCATATGATAGCAAAAGTGAGAGATGCAGGAAAATCACAGACAGTATTTATAGCGTTATTTTAATGTTTTATAGATGCTCTAATACCTGTGATGTGATCTTTTCAGAGGTTTTGCAGGTACTCTCTAAACTTGGCAATGATCTCGCTTTTTGTGCTTCTTTAAAAATTCCCAGCACGTAAAGCTTAAAGGGATAGTTCGGTATTTTTGACATGAATCTGTATGGCATCCCGATCACCAGCGGCATGCAATCACACTGACTTACCCCTGGCAGCGTCCTGTGAGCAGAGTTATCGTCCAGTTTTGGTCAAGCCGAAAGTAGTCCTGCAGGTTTTTAGGAACAGCGAAATAAAACTTTTCTCTTCCCAAAACATTATGTGTCCAAAAGAGTGATATTTTCGCATCCCAAAAACATTGTAGTGGAAAAAGTCACACGTCGTTATCAATTGGTCCTATTTTCTCTCTGTTCGTATCAGTGCGCGCCGTCATTCAGACAGCGAGCCCAACAACAGCCATGTCTCCCTCCGCCACGGAGGGAGACATGGCTGTTGTTGACATGGAACTTTCTTTCCATCCTGTAGAGAAATATCAGCTGTGCTGCTGCCATCAAAACATTTGTTTATAGATGTTGGATATCTGCTTGTTATTTCAGTGTAGTCCTGTTTCTCTGACTGTGACTGGCTGGATGTGCTCTCTTCATCCCCTGACATGAGAGTTGGCTCGCAAATGTCTGCCTGGCTGTGTGTTTACTGGACAGGGCTGCCTTTTACAGTTTTTTATTGTATCTCTGCTTCTGTCTACTTGAACCCCAGTCGGCCTTGGAAGATGGCCGCTCACACTGAGCCTGGTTCTGATGGAGGTTTTATTACTGTTAAAAGGGAGTTTTTCCTCTCCACTGTCACTACAAGCATGTTTAGTGCAAGGGAGTGAACACTCTGAATCAATTTGACTGGATGATCTGGTTAACTGTAAAGTGCCTTGAGATGACGTGTTGTGAATTGGTGCTATATAAATGAAATGAATTGAATTCTTAAAATATTCTTCCCATAGTTACCACTCATCTCTTGGCTGGTTCTCTGATAACGCTGTCAGTTAAGGTGGGCGGCCATGGCTGGGTAGGTTTACGATGGTGCCATACTCTGTCCGCTTTCAGATGCTGGGGCAAACGGTGCCCTGTAAGATGTTGCTCACGGCTTAGATTGCAAACGATTTAATGATGCTATTTTGGTCACACATAAAGTCAGTTATTTTAGGGGTATCTGGGTTGTTTGGGGGTATTGAAGTAAAGAAGACAACTAATTGGAACCTATTGGCTAGTTATTTACATACTATGCAGCATTGAGACTTTTTGTTTAACACAGAAAAAAGAGTTTTAGAAGGTAAAGAATTGTTAAGGCTGTATATACAGAAAAATTTGGTCCTTTAAAGTAACATTCAATAAACCTAGGTTTTTTTTCTTTCTAGTAGCTGGAAAGACCTCTCAATTTGGGTCTATGTTTGCCAGAAACAGCAGTTAGCTAAATTTCTTTTAATTATTTATTTTTAGCAAGTACTTTTGCTTTTGCAAGACTAACATATAGTTTTTTTCCCTTTTTTCCTAATGAGCCCTAGTTATTAAAACTACATGTACTGATTTGTACAATTAAGCTAAAATTATTTGAATTGCTTGTCCTAATGTTACATAATGCAAACGAGTTCAAACGAATTATATATTTTAGGATCTATGCTAGATTTAAAGTTTTATTATAGAAACTTTCTTTGCATTCTTAAGCAGAGTAATTTGATTTATTGGATCATGAATTGGCCATTGATATTAGAGGAGCTGTTTGATCTGCATGCACAAAATATGAGAGCAGGCTGAGCTAGAAGATTAGAACAGGTTACTTAGGCATGAAGGGATTTACACTATGTCAGGTTTGTTTTTTATAGAAATGTTTAGGTTCCTGTTGATCATTTCTTTTTAAACGAATTAGGAGGATTAAGAGAAAAAAAATACACAAACTAGCTTTAATGGAGATCTTCGTTGGAGATGGCTGCAGTGAAAGGACAAAATCAATGACACCTTTAGCCCTGCTCCCTTTATTTCTCTTCGTGTCATGTCCTACTTCTTTCTCAGTCCCCCCAGGCACTCGCTTACCCCTCACCTAATGTTCCTATCTGGCTTGTCTGTCAATTTTTTTTTCTCCCTCTCTTGTCCTTTATCCTTTTCTTGACATATCTCTGCATCATCTATGTTCAAACTTAAGACAAAAGAGGGTACCAAAAAAAAGGAGACATATGGAGACACGAAAGCACAAAGTGAAACAGATGGGAGGAGGAGGGAAGAGCGGTCACACTTGTTTCTTGCTGCAGGGGCATCCTACTTCATCTTATTATACAACTGATATTCACTTTACATAACTATAACTGTCTGACAGTAAACCACAGCTCTATCTTAGCAGGAGCCAGGCGTTGGGTTGTGGGTTTCATAGCGAGCTGCTTTGTCACAGTGTTGCTGTTGAGTTAACTTGACAAGGTTGACGGGGAGGTTGCTGCATGGCCGCTTCACTTCCACTGTTGTATGGAGCTCTCTCTCTGAAACAGATTAATCGTTTGCCCTCATTTGTGAAAGTTTTCTTTAAAGATCATTAAATTCCATTTTTTTTTTCTTTTGTCTAGTTCTGTGTTTATTTTGCCACAGTACAGATGTTGTCATAAACAGATATTTGATTGCAGTCCACAAACATTTTTGGAATAGCAAACCAAAATACAGTATATTATGGGTCTTCAATGTGTTGGTTGGTCCCCCACAGCATGGGTATGCAACCTTCAGTTCTGGAGCTGCAAATGGCCTTTTGGACCTTCCTTAGTGGCTCTTGGTATCTGGTTAAAAAATATAAAGTTTGTTAGAGAATAACATTAAATTCTCACAACCCAATAATAATTTTTTTCCTTTTTGCTTGATTTTACAGGAATTTTAGCATTTCCTGGACAATATATTTTTTGTATCCGGATGTTTCTGTCTTAAAAAAAGTAAAACTAAAGATAAGATGGTGGCTAAAGGTTTTCAAGTAACATTATCAGCACTGTTTTTTATTTAACAGGAGTCAGAGCAAAAATATCTCTTTGTATTGTAAAGGTTGCAGACCCTTTCCCCAGGGTCGTGACCCCCTGGTTGGTTAGGGAGGTACTGTAAGGTGGTCGTAACATTTTTCTGTGACCTAAATCAGGAAAAATTCAGACAGCATTATAACAATATTGCTTAAACTAAAAAAAAAAATACTTTGTGTTTGCAGAGGTGCCAAATTTTTGCACAATGACCTGATAACTATTTTTTGTTTAGTTGTTTATTTCTGGGTGGAAATTGGTTCTTAGCCTAAGCCCACAATCATGGCAGCGCAGGAGGAAGTACACGTAGCTGCTGTTATCACATCCGCTTGGTCAAAACCCGCAATATCATCTTTGAAAGAGGAACAGCAAGAGCTGCTGTTGTGGTTACTCAAGGTTTTGTTGCCATGATTGGCTAAAACAAGAATGCAAACAAATAATTGTTAATCAATGGTTTATTAATTAAAATTCGATCCATCTCTACATAATCTTAAAAGGAATTTCTTTCATTCTTATAGCCTTACTGCTGTCCACTTGTGGGAGCCATAGTTCATTCTTAAGCGGAGCCTCAATATTTGCAAAAGAAGAAATGCCAGCTGACAAATTAATTGATCGAGAGTCTGGCCCAGAATTATTTACATAATTTAATGGCAACAAGGTTACAAAATGCATTTTATGTGGATCCTCTTTGCAAATATAAACACTCGATAAACTCAAGTTACCAACAAAATAGTGTTCCTTTAGCCATGCTGCGTGATGTAGCAGAATCGACCATTAAATGGAAACAAAGTAGTACATAGTCTGGCAGCGTGTCAGAGCAACGTGTCCTGTTTATTGGTGATATTTTAACATCTCTATACATTGGAAATCATTAGCTTTCCACATATTTGATTAATCTGGTTTTTAATCAGGGATGCAGTAGGTTCCTGTTTTTGTTATATCTAATAAGTACATTTTAAAGATTGTGTGAGAATTTTTTTTGTTTATTCAAGAAGTGGGACACAATGAAAAAATTTTAATCGAAAGCCATATAATGGCAAAATAAACCACCTCTCAATTCAAAAATCTTTTTTCTCCTCAATTATTAAATAATTATACAAGCACAACAACATATATATTGTTTTTAATCCAACTATTTAGTTTTTTTTTAAGGGGGGGACATTTATTCTGCCTGAATGAATTATGTTATCATAGTATTTTTTGTTTTTTTTACCTTTTGTATTTCACGTCTTTAAAATCTCACAACACATATAATGTTGTCTGAGTGATTATTTCCTGTTTAAACATGTTTAATCATTTAATCCACATATAGTTGGCCAGTTTGAGCAGCATTTTTTACCAAACTAAGTATTTTTGTGAATGACAATGTCTTTACTTGAGTTTAAATGTCTTAGTTAATTTTGGCGTCTGCACCTGTGGTCATCAGTCTATTTGACAACAAAGGCAAATTAAGGCGTCTAACCCCTACAGCCCTCCACTCTAAGTACATAAAATGTCTCTGTTGCATTATATTAGACCTGATACTGACCTATGTCTTCTCCTGTCTTTTTCCTTTATGCCATAACTTAGTCGCTACCCCTTACGAATGCTGCTAGGGGCAGAGACTGTGGGCTGAGCTGAAGAGGACAGAGATTTCAGAAAAATAAACCACGGCTGTGTATAGGGTCTCATATAGCATAATTTTAATTTTAATAAAATCAAAAAAAGAATTTTATGTGTAGATGGATTTTATGAGTTAAAACAAGCTCGTGCTCCCACCTATTTGTATGTATATGAGAAAAAGCAATTAATTTATTTCTTTAACGTGTTAAAATGTTTCTAATCAGTTGAAATTAAAGCATTAAAATCCCAGCCCTAAGTTATAAATATTGATCCTATTTTACTGATGTCAAGCCTCTGCAAATGTTTAATCCTTTCTCTGTTTGTGTTTCTCTCACAGTGGTTAATTGTAATACTAAATTCTAATAAATAGCTTTTCAAACTTTTCTGTGGTAAAATGTCAATAATCAATATTTTGTATTCGAATTTCTTTATATCAGGGCATGTTATGCTTCATTCTGATATCTTTTATCCTGCTTATTGCCATCCTATAGACTGTTTTTTCTTGACTATATTCAAACTTATTGTAGAAGAGTGAGGAGAACTGTTTCAATACAGAGGTTATACAGGATGGAAGCATGTTGGTTCAGATGAGTAGTTTGATCTAAAGCAAAAGCATCATGAAAATGTAAAAACCAAAGAAACCACTAAGGGGGCAATGTAAATGTATCAACAGTGTTCGAGGCGCTTACTTACCCATACGTGCATAAAGATGAAGTTTCATATCATATTGGTTTCTCAAATGGCCTCAAAAGAAGAGCCATTTCCTTTTGCTTCATGCTGTATTACAGTTTGAGGTGGTTGGATCCAAAAAAAATGTCTGTTTTAGTTATTCTTACACAAGTAATATATTAGAACCACTGGATAATCTTATAGCTCTTAACAAAATGAGCTTTAGAATTTTTGTTTTTGTGTTTTCTTTTTGATTAATGTGTAGGTATAGATGTGAAACACTGCAGAAAACCGTACTTTTTATCTTCTGTGCTGTTTTTGTTCTTTGGTCTCACATCCTCTCCTCTCCCTCGCAGTGCGACTTCATGACAGCATTTCAGAGGAAGGCTTTCATTACCTCGTCTTTGACCTGTGAGTAGATTCTGTGCACGCAGACAATGACATTTTAACCATGCACGTAACCTTGCTTTGTTTGCATATGCTAACAAGTTCTTTGTCTTTTCTGTCTTATTGCCTTTCTTTCTCAAATGTCTTCCCTGTCTTGTCCCTTAGTGTGACAGGAGGAGAGCTTTTTGAGGACATTGTAGCCAGGGAGTACTACAGTGAGGCCGATGCTAGGTAAGACCCTCCTATTAAGTTTGTCTACACACATGCAGTAAGAAATGCACTGTGTAAGCCTGTGAAACACATCAAGGCCAAACACATCCTTTTAAATGCACCACTGTGTCCTCATGTGCTCGCACACATAATTGGTTTGCTTGTATTCTTGTCAGGAAGTGCATCCTGCCTACAAGTACAGTAATGTAACTGTCTCAGTGGTCTATAGCTGCATTGTTTCTGTCCACATTTTATTGCCTAAAGCATACCCTGCTAATGCTGATTTAATGCAGCCATTTTAATTATTTACCCACTCATTAGTGTTGCCACAATAATAGAATTTCAAACTTCTTATTTCGATAACATTTCAATTGCCACAACAATAATTTACAAAGACACATTTTTTAATTAAGAACAAAGAGAATGATTAATTTCAATATGACAATATTTTTACTTTCTCATTTCGGTCAAAACCACCAAGTAGGAGACAAATAATAATTTTGTATATATATATATGAGGGTTGATGTCTTTTATGGTAGTATGCACCTTTGATTCAGCAGAGTGATCACATTCAGGTACATATTTTACTTTGTAAACAAACGTATTCAGCTTATTGGTAATTCCATCCATCCATTTTCTAAGCGGGGTCTCAAGGGGTGCTGGTGCCTATCTCCAGCTGTCTACGGGCGAGAGGTGGGGTACACCCTGGGCAGGTCGCCAGTCCATCGAGGGCAACACAGAGACAAACAGGACAAATAATCATTCACACACACCTAAGGAGAATTTAGAGAAACCAGTGAACCTAACAGTCATGTTTTTGGACTGTGGGAGGAAGCTAGAGTTCCCGGAGAGAACCCACGCATGCTCAGGGAGAACATGCAAACTCCATGCAGAAAGCCTCCGGGCTGGGAATCGAACCAAAATCTTCTTGCTGCAAGGCAGCAGTGCTACCCACTGAGCAGACCCTGAATGGTAATTTGATGGTAAAAAAAAAAAAATAAATTCTTAATGGTAATTTTGTGTAATTTTTTTTTTTTTTTTTTAGTAATCCGATACAGCAGGTAGCTATGGATTCCTGTTCTGTTTTAGTTGTCTGCTTCACTCTGGCTCAGCCATAATCTGTGATTTTAGTTGCTCAAATCAGCCTCGATTAGTTTTATGGCTAAGTGGATGGTAATAGAATGGAGAGAGACCCACTGGTTTGTTGTTGCTTCACTATTCAGTAGCCATCAAAGCTGATTAGCATTTTGCATTTAGGCCCCGTCCACACGAAGTCAAAACGAACACGAAACGCTGATATTTTCCAAAACGTTTGCCGTAAAGACGGAGACGTAAAATAAATGTGAGCGTCCACACGAATGCATGAAAACGCTGCAAAATGTATGCCAGGCCTGTAAGTGGCGCTGTGGTGCCAAAGCAAAAATAAGCGACGAAATGTTGGGCATGTGCACTAATATTTATACATGGTTGCCCTGCGGGTCCATTTTCGTGGTTAAGTGAAATTCAGGTGCTGAACTATGTCGTCGATATTGCTCTGTTCTTCCTGGAGATATTCCAGAAGAAGAAGATTCTGTTGTAAGCCCGACAGCAGGGTGAGTAGCATTAGCAACGGCGCCATTGTTGTTGTGATACTGGTCGCGCATGCGTGTGTAGAGGCGACGCTATGACGCATGCGTGTAAAAAAAATATATGCGGTTAGAGCGTAAAGATGGAAACGCGAAAACGGCGTTTCAGAATCTTCCCACTCTGAAGGCTCAATAAAAAAATGATCGTTTACAGACCCCCGAAACGCCGGCTTCGTGTGGATGAGAGGCTGGTTTGGTGAAAAATTTGTGCGTTTAGGCCAGGGTTCGTCTTCGTGTGGACGGGGCCTTAAACATAGCTTAGCTTATATTTTACTGTGGTTTTACAAGTTAATGTCAGGTACTGGAGACTTGCTGACCCTTTCAAGTTGCTTTCAGACATCAATTAATCTTGCAGTATTAAAACAGCTAGCATATGACTTGTCAGCATTTTTCTTTTCCCATCTGTCTGCCTCATAGGTAAGAGCAGCTCTGATTTAGGAACTGCAGCTAGAAATTATGTTGATTAATCTGTTGAAAATGTCGTTTTCATATGATTCAGCTTAAGCTAGATCAGATAAAATAAGGTGTCTTGGCTTAAATAAAAATGTATATTTTGTTTAGGCCGTTTTCTCTATAATTTCCTTTCCAAGTGGGTTCTGATTTCAGGAAATGTCATGTTTTAGAGCCCATTTAGTGATTATCTGTTCACTAAATAAACAGGATGATTATTTCAATAATCGATTAATTGTTCAGGCGCTAGTCTGAACAAAGCCTTTCTGTTTGCCCTGCCTGCTAATGAAGGTCCCATTTTTTTTTTTCTTTTCCTAATGTAGCAGTAGCCCATTGTTTTGGTTGTTTGCATGGCTGGAAAGAGTGTCTGATATTGCAATTTAGCTGCAAAAAGTAGGCTACATGAATTGGTCATTTTATATAAATTCTTTTTACATATGGTATATAACAAAAATACAAAAAAAAAGTTTGTATCAACTCTGACGCAGATGATCATTAATTTTTCTAGTATTGACTATATTTAAATTTTGAATTTTTTTATGTTTGTTTTTTAATCGTGCTGTACATTAACTATAAAAAAATGCTCTATTTTTTTATATCCTTAAATTGCTGCCCTGCACCATTAATTTAACTTCTGCTGTACATTTGGTCAAATTCATTTTTATCTTACAAGTTTTTCTCTGCACGTCTTTTTTTCCAGTTTAATATATTAACAGTTCAGCTCTAGTTGTTGATGCACAGTGTGTCTGATCTGAATCCTCCTTCATTGTCAATGCTTTTAGTATTGCAATCACAAAAGTAAGCTGTGCTACAATATTTAATATGAAAACATATTTCAAGTGCCACTCATTACTTACCCCAATTGATCCAGCCGTGTATTTGACCTACTAGCTTGTTTCTAGCTGCCTTGTTGCAGACCATATGTGCATTCAGTTGGCCTGGATGGTAAAGCTCAAAGAATAAACTGCAACGATGAAAGAGGAAAATTTTAATGCTAATTGTTATCATCACTGGAATATTTAATCACAATGTCATAATATGTTGGCCGATATGATGCAACTTGAGGTCTAGTTTAAATTCTAAAATGCAATGACTGGTTATCATTATTTGGCTATATCAGGGTTTTAAAATATGAACAGATTAGTCCACCCCATAATTAACCATTTATTACAGCCATATTAGTTTTCACAGAGAGCCAATTTGATTTATATTGCTGTCAGTTTGTATAATTGCTGTGAAGTTGTGACTTTTAGTGGAATTCTAATGGTTTTACTTATATTAATAGGATGCAGTAGTGTTTTTCTGAAGTTCATTTATTGGCAAAGTCCAATTTGAACTAAATAAAATCTCTTTTTTCCCCTTAAAATTTCCTTAATCAATTTATGCATTTATTTTTTTATCTCCATGTAGTCGCGATAAATCACCAAAGTCAGAAATTGCTTTCAAAATCTTGCTTTTATTTGAATCATCCCAGCTGGGAGTTGCCATGAATTCAAAGTGTATTTAATTGAGAACTGTGAATTGTTTTTTCTAAAGCAAGTTGCAGGCCCTGCTGCTGCAAAGATGATTACAGCTGGTGTTGCAAAGCATTTAGGAAGATATTCCAAGCTTTATTAATAACTTCATATTTTATATTCAGTTTTAATGGTTGATCACCCTTCTAAGCAGAATTGGAAGACGGACATTTACCTGCCAGTGACTCTCCAGATATTTCCAGTGCTTTGTTTCAGAAGGTTAATGAAGGCCTACTTTTTATATTGGGATTTCTTTGTCCAAGTTTAACCATCTAGCTGTTGAATTAAGATGAAATTGAAGGCATTTTTTCCTCCATCCACCTTTTAAATCCAAGGTTGATGGTAAATGTGTGGCACTGTGGAAAGAAAATAGTTCGAGTTCATGGTAATGTCACCCATGATGCTTCCTACCATGCCTAGTCATTCTAACCATATTCCTTACACTTTAGGACATAATTGGTTTGTCCTTTTTTGTCAAGAATCCTGCAGATATCCAAACTGGATCTAGACTTGAAAAAGTATTTTTCATCGCTGAACAAAAAATGCAAAATAAGGCCGGCATTTAAATACGACTCATGAAACATGCGGCCTGTTAGGCAGTCCATGAGGCCAACATTGCTTAATCTTTTTTACGAGATGAAGACATGGTAACCCAATGACTGAGAATGAAAGATAGGTTCTTAAACAGTTCCTCAAACTGGTTTCAGAATAGTTAGACAGCCAGTTGAGAAATTGTGACTTTTTTTTTAAATAATTTTCTTTACTTGTAACTTCCTACATTTTTTATGTATATTTATATTTAGTTTTGCCATTCATTCTAATGATTATTTATGAACATGATTTGTTCATTTGAAACTATACTATGATAAAGATGGACATCATGTTTATCTCCGTATTGATCAGCTCTTAATAGGAAATGTTTAGAAACCTGAATAATTGCTGAATAATTGTGTGCTATGGTTAAAAGCTGATTGCATATCAATGTAAATTAAGGAGTGGTCAAATATCCAACCACAGGTGAATCAGGACCCAGTTTTATTGCTAGAAAAGGAGTCTGCTGCAGTAAATGTTAGAGGATGGATTTGTACATCTGAGCTTGTTTAACTTTCACAATATGTAGATTAAAGGTGATCTGTTTTTAAGCATTTTAGATGTCATATGGATATTTGCACCTTGCTAAAAATGATTTAAATGAATCATTAAGGGATCAAAATCAGTGAGACGGATTTTTTTGTTCAACATGTATCTGGATTTTGTATTTTCCGTTAAAGCTAGAAGATAAAACAAGCTAGAAGTCCCTGTAAACACACCAGATGAGTCTTCTGCATTATTAGAGCTCATGAGTGTAAGGTTTTTCCTCCTTGTGATTTTCTAAACACTGTTGCAGGGAAATGCTGTTTTGTAGTGGCATTGAATTCCCTCAGGCTCCGACAAAACACACGACAGACAAATCATGTGCAGCGTACGTCATGTTTTTGTGACGAAGGCCAGTGGCTGACACTTTGCCCTGTTTGTCCTCTTTTCTGTCTCTCTCTCTGTAGTCACTGCATTAGTCAGATCTTGGAAAGTGTCAATCATATCCACCAGCATGATATTGTGCACAGAGACCTCAAGGTGAGTGAGACGACCACGCACACTCTCTCACACACACACCTCTGCTCGTGGCCATGGCAACACACAGATGGCTCTCTGTTTCTTTTCATCTCTGCAGTTTTCTTCTTTTCCTGTTTTTCCCCACATCTCTGTGCTCCCCTCCCATTTATATATTTTTCCCCTCTATTCCTCTATCTTTTGTCACATCTGTCACCCTCTCTGCCCTTGACCGGAGTTCAGTCTGTGCTCATGCATGTGTGCTAATGTTGAGCACAGAGATGATGAGTCATGATCACGTGGAAGGGTTCGGCTCTCACCTAAGGGGAGGAAAAGACAAAAATTTAAACAATGCATGCAGAGAGGGAGCGAGGTATGCACATACATTAATTTTTTTTTTAGTTCTGCCATCAGCAAAGAGGTTAGGGCATAGCCACAGGAGTTGCCACGACAACCTGCGTGATGACAGGCCTCCCATGTAGCAGCATAGGAGGAGCATCGGTTGACCTAAATTGCTGATTGGTTCAGTTTCTGATTAGCTTAGAATGCAGGAATACAGCCTCTGTGCGGCTAACAGAGTTCATAGCTGAGTTCATCACACAAGGTGATGATCCTTTTACTGATTTTTAACTATTGGAAAACTTTAAAGAATTACACAAAAAAGTTCCTGCAGTTTGGGACCATCGAAGTGATCCAAGGCACCATCAACCCTTCCTTCCTTCTATTCATCCCAAGTAATTTATTTTCCGTTCATTCATCCTTCACTTTTTTGGTCTTTCCATTCATCTGTTTTCCATCCATGTCTCTGCTTGTCCAACTACCAATTTATTCATCCATTCATTCCACCGTCTGTGCATCCATCTGCCCATTCATCCATTAGTCCACTATCCATCTGTCCAGCCTCTTCGTGTTTTTTTTTTCTTTTGCTGGTGCCATGTTTAAACGCATAGAAATATCTGCCATAAATTCAATAAAGCTTTTCACGAAAATATGCACCTCTCAAAATAATTAAAGGAACACCTTGAAAACACAGCAGATCTCAATGGGGCAAAAAATCATGCTTTTTATTTATACTGATATGGGCTGGGTGATGTGTTAGGAACAATAGAATGCCACATCATTTGATGGAAATGAAAATTACCAACCTACAGAGGGCTGAAATCCAAGTCACCCGAAAAATGACAGTGAAAAAATGATGCGAGATTACTGAAATTTAATTGCAGCAACTCAAAATTATATTCAGTAATTTGTATTGCTCCCACATGTGTGTATGCATGCCTGGCCACATCGGGCCATGCTCCTAATGAGACGACGGATGGCGTCCTGGGGTATCTCCTCCCAGATCTGGACCAGGGCATCACTGAGCTCCTAGACAGTCTGAGGTGCAACCTGGCAGAGTCGGATGGATCGAAACGTAATGTCCCAGAGGTGTTCTATAGGATTTAGGATTTAGGAAGCATGGGGACCAAACAATGGTATCAATTCCTTCATCCTCCAGGAACTGCTGCATTCTCTTGCCACATGAGGCCGGGCATTGTCGTGCACCAGGAGGAACCCAGAACCCACTGCACCAGCATAGGGTCTGACAATGGGTGCAAGGATTCATCCCGATACCTAATGGCAGTCAGGGTGCCTTTGTCTAGCCTGTATAGGTCTTTGTGTCCCTCCATGGATATGCCTCCCCAGACCATCACTGACCCACCACCAAACCGGTCATGGTGAACGATGTTACAGGCAGCATAACGGTCTCCACTGCTTCTCCAGACCCTTTCACGTCTGTCACATGAACCTGCTGTCATCTGTTAAAAAAGAACAGGGCGCCAGTGGCGGACTTGCCAATTCCGGTGTTCTGTGGCAAATGCTAATGGAGCTCCACGGTGCCGGGCAGTGAGCACAGGGCCCACTAGAGGACGTCGGGCCCTCAGGACACCCTCGTGAAGTCCGTTTCTAATTGTTGCAACCTCTGTAGGGTCCAGGTAGCGCCTCATGCTAACAGTAGTGACAGTGACCCTAGCCAAATGCAAAACTGGTGAAAAAGAGTCAGAAAAGACGAGAAGGAGAAAAACTGTCAGCGGCCTCCACCTGTAAAACCATTCCTGTTTTGATGGTTGTCTCATTGTTGCCCCTCTAGTGCACCTGTTGTTAATTTCATTAACACCAAAGCAGCTGAAACTGATTAACAACCCCCTCTGCTACTTACCTGACCAAATCAATATCCCAGAAGTTTAATTAACTTGATGCTATACTCTGATTACAAAGTGTTCCTTTAATTTTTTTTGAGTACTGTATATAAGTCCAATAGTCGAAAGGCTGTTTATTTCAGAGTCTGAAGGAAGTTGGGGATTTGGACCCGTTTTCTTTGAGAGTCGTGTTTTGCTGAATTCTGATGTGGACAGATTTCCCTCTGAGGATTACAGTGTTTAAAAAAAAATTATTTGTTTATTTTTTTGGTCATTAGTAGGGCTGCAACTAACGATTATTTTAAAAATCGATGAATCGGACGATTATTTTTTCGATTAATCGATGAATCGGACAAAAAATATTTTTTATATTAACCTCTTTATTCCAAAATAAACATTATAGACAGAACAAACAAGCACACAAGTACAGGTTGCTCATTAACTGTACTGGTGCAATATGAAAAATAAATGTTTCTGTTAAAACTACGCAAACTTACATGAGAAATGTAGCTGTACATCCACAAAATATAGGGTACTTTGTTTCATAAAGCGCAAAAAAATACATTTTTGTTTTTAAAAGCCCCTAAGGGGTTCAAACAATAGGCCCCCCCATTTCAACAAATGAGGTTTTTTTAGATTAGAAGAGTTCTGCCTTTTAAGACAGGAAAGTACAGCAGTTAAAGTTGCTACTTGAGAAAATACTGAACCAGAGATAAAAATAGCCCTGTGATTCAAATTATAAATTGTATTTGGAATAAAAATGAAAGAACTAGGGGTGCTAAAAAACACATCCTCCAAAGACAGATATTTACATGGGAATGTGGCAGATAATTAATTGACATATTACTGATCTTGCTGGATTTTATTCTGCTTTACTTCTATAAATTGCAGGATCATCTTTACTTTATCTTTGCCAGAAGATTTAAACTTTAAAAGTCTTGCCCTCATAATTTGCAAGTTAATTTATTTATAAAGAAAATATAAACGCTGCTTAAGCTAATTCAAATGAAATTAAAAGTAAAATAAGTAGCCAACCTTATCACTGTCTGTAACCTACTAACACGGTAAGGAAAGCATCAGATGAGCTACCTGAGAAACTAACGTTACGTTTCCCCCACTTTAAAACCAAACAAACATGGTGGTTCCGTGCCATGTTAATTTCTTTTGAAAAAAGTTGCATGTTATCACTTTTTTCGCTTTACAAAGCGCAGGCTATTTTAATTATTGTGATCAATTTGCGCCGTCAATTCCGGTGCATGCGCGCTTCATTTGCAGTCTGGACGCTGAGGCTCTGAATGAGAGGGACTTTCCTGCGGGAAAACGCGGTTGGGGTGGGGGAGGCGCCCCACGGCAGAGTAGGAACATGCATGCTTTCACGTAAGAGTCTCCAAAAGCCGCCAGTGACACCGAAAAAAGTCGCCAGATTTGTCGCTAGTCGCTTTTTTGAAAAACATTCGCTGGAGGGGTCTGAAAAGTCGCGGAGTTGGCAACACTGCACCTGCGGCGCTGACTCGCTCTGCCGTATTTTTTTTTCTTCCTCTTTCAGTCAAGAGGCAGTGATGACGGCGCGGCGGATGACGCAATAATCGCGCGACACAACTAATCGATGATGAAATTCGTTGCCAACGCTTTTAAAAGTCGATTTTTATCGATTTTATCGATTCGTTGTTGGAGCCCTAGTCATTAGTAATGTATGATTAAGGAAGGAAAGATTGCTCCATCAGTGCGCGATTAAATTATGCAGTTTAACCTTTATCTGATTGTTGATAAAATAATAAAAATCTGCATCACAGTCATTGTAATTGGTTGATGTATTTACTCACAGAGAATTGTGGGCATTTTTGGTTTTAATGCATTTAACAAACGGGGAGCATAACCAGATTATTCAGTTTTTGACCTGCGTCTCACCGATCAGAGCCTGTCAAAGGAAAATTGTGCACTTATGATTTCTGGAGGATTGGTTGGTGCACCGCTGCTGCAAACATGTCTCAGACTTGGATGTGCAGCTCATGTGTGTAGATGGACTCTCTCTGTCCCAGAGTAACACTATTACCCCAAGTGCTGCATGTCTGATTTGTTGGCCTTTTATCCTAAGTGGGCTTTTTACTGCATCCCTTCATGTCCCGCTGCCGTAACTACAGCCATTTAGAACGCTGCCACACACGCTGCCTCTCCATTTAGCATGCAGTCTGCAGCTCTGCCCAAATGCCTCCCGAGTGGTTTCTATGGCTACAAAACCATGCCCATATAAGGCGTTGCGAAGACTAACCACTCATCTTTTCCCCTTTCCTTTCTCTTTCTATGGCTTTCTCACACCTTTCCTCCACCCCCACACAATCTGTGTCAAATGCATCAAAAAATAAATATTTATGAGAAAGAGCTCTGCTGACGAGTGTCTTTAATTATCTCCCTATCTTCATCTCTTGTCCTACATTCTGCTTCTCAATATGTGTCTCTGTGCGTCAGCCTGAGAACCTGTTGCTGGCCAGTAAGATGAAGGGGGCTGCAGTGAAGCTGGCAGACTTTGGGCTCGCTATTGAGGTGCAGGGAGACCAGCAGGCTTGGTTTGGTAAGAAAATGCAGAAACACATGATAGTTTGGACATTTTTCCTAAAAGAGCACACTCACTGCCTCTCAGAAGCCATAGAAAATTTCTTGGGATCATTCTTAATCACTTCCACTTTGTAGTTCATGCCTGGGTCATTTTTATCTGGGCTGACAGCTGCTTGTATTTGGCAGACTATCAGAAATGAAATGATTTAAGGACTTTTTTTGTTACTTCATATGATTGGTTATTCCATTAAAAACTCAAATGGTTGCTATCTTTTAAGATTTCATATAACTGCACAGAAACACCCTGGTCTTGATTTCTGAGAAAACATCACAGCTCACATCACCTTTGCCGCAGGATTTGCTGGAACTCCTGGTTATCTCTCCCCCGAGGTCTTGAGGAAGGATCCCTACGGCAAGCCTGTAGATATATGGGCCTGCGGTGAGTTTGCCTTACAGCTCATTTCAAAGTGTTGACGTAAGCTAAAGATGAACTCGATAAAAAGCCCCTTTTATTATTAAGGTGGGATCTGCTAATTCTGATTTTGTTTTATTTATTTTTTTTTGTCTTACGAACTACAGATGAATCTAAAGAAATTAGATTATCATCTAAAATCATCTATATTAGTGCCAATAACTGTGAGGTTTTCACTTCCAATCGGATTTCGATACTTGAATTTGATGCTGCTGTTCTAGCAGTTTTTAACCCATCTGCCACTATGGATCAGGCCTATCTTCACCGATACCTGATAGAGAATTTTCTTCAATATCAGGAACCATACAATATTGTTATCAGATCGATACAGGTCTATGCGTATCCAACATTCAGTTTCTGTGGTCCATGGTGAGTTTTAAAAGAAGAAGTTGAGCTGTTGTAATCCCAGATCTGACTGCAAACATGGTGTGTTAGCTCTTAAAGCAGGGACTCATTATTTCCTAGGGCCATAAAATGATATTTCTCTTTCTAGCCTCCCATTTTTGTTCAACCAATGTAATCTAATTGTCACTTCTATGGGAATTGAATCTATGAAATATAGTAGTTTTATATAAATGGAATCACAGAGTTAAATTAGCTTGTGTTAAATGACTAAAATACACTGGTATTTCCCATTTTATAGTTAATCCGAAAAACACCTTTTAAGTCGATTTATTTATTCTCTGTAATTTATTTTTCAGCTCTGCTGCTCATCAATTTGACCCATTAAGGGAAAACTGTGTTTTAGGATTTTTGTCCATTCCCTGTCACATTGGGGAGCATATCACCTGTTGCTTAATGCTCTCACCCCTGCTAGTTCTGTAACACAATCTTTCTTTTCTCGCTTCATCTCCCTTCAGGTGTTATTCTCTATATCTTGTTAGTCGGATATCCTCCTTTCTGGGATGAAGATCAACACAAACTCTATCAGCAGATCAAAGCTGGGGCCTACGATGTAAGTGAGCTTTGTATCTGTGTGTGGATGCAGTGGGTGCAGTGCAGGGGTTGGCTAAGCACTTTTTGAATGTTTAATAGTGTCCAATTGAGATCTGGTCCAAAGCTATTGATCCTATCAGGGCTTTTCTGACGCATTGCAGAGGTGTGTGTTTGTGTGTAAGCAAGAGAATGAAAAGGTGTATCTTCTCTCTTAGTTGCTATTTAATTAGGTCACACTGCATATTTTTTAAAGCATGTTCATACTCATACAATTTTCATTCTTGGTTGGATTATTTAATCTATGAAATGTATCCAAAAAGCCGTCTTAGATCGTTACTAAATCTTTTTAGTTAGGGTAGCACTGTAATCTAGACCTTTCTCCCAGATCTTCCTTTATGTTTAAAATGTCCCTTAGTTCCCGTCTCCAGAGTGGGACACAGTGACTCCAGAAGCGAAGAACCTGATCAACCAGATGCTGACCATCAATCCAGCCAAGAGAATCACTGCTGAACAAGCCCTGAAACACCCATGGGTCTGCGTAAGTGATGGATCTGTAAACTAACCCAGAAGTCCTCCTCCATCACATTATAGGGAGGAGAACATCTTAACTGTGCTACACATTCACACCAACTGCTTTGACTTGCATATATTGATCTACACCTGATGTATATTTGAAGTCCGTCGTCTGTTCATTAACATGTTCTTTCTCTGTCCACTTACAGCACCGTTCTACAGTGGCCTCCATGATGCACAGACAGGAAACTGTTGAATGTCTGCGTAAATTCAACGCTCGCCGAAAACTAAAGGTAGATGTTTCCTTTTGTCCCTTTTTTATGCAACAGTCTGTTTTTAAACCCTGTTCTTTCTTCTTGTATAATTTTGTTTCACAATTTATTACTAATGGGACTCTTCTGTGCAATATGTTAATATGATAGGAATTCAAATAGCTTTGCTGATAGGACTTCCTCTCATGAAGAATTCAATGCATTTGACTCAGATTCACAGCAAATCTCATCGCGGTCTCGTTTGAACGCAGTTATTTTGGATTCAGTTTGAGTTGTTTTTTGGGTGGGAATAAGAAGAACACTGAGCTAGGATGGTAATTCCTGTCAATGACCCGGTATTAGGAGAGAGAGCTACTCAAAGAAATCGAAGATTCATTTAACGTGCTAAACTTCCTGTTAAACACAGCAGGATGTTTTAAAACGAAGGAGAGTGGCTAATCTCTCTTTCAAAATGCAGCATTAAAAACATAAAGCTCTTAATTCTTGCTCATAAGTTGATCAACTTTTTAAATTAAAGAATATTTTAGACACTTTGAGTGATGTAGATGAAACCTGTTGATGTTTTTGCTTGCAGCAATAGTCCTTCCACTATGACTAAACACAGATCCATCTAGGATTTAACTTCCCACTAATTATCTGTCCAGAGGGAATCTGTTTAAAGGTGCTCTGTATAAACAAGCCAGGCCTGACTATTGTTTGTACAAAGCATTTTAGTGTTTATCTTTTGATTTGTTGCTTTTTTTTCTGTTTTACACTTTCACTTTAGTATGTATGATAATGGTGCTTCATTTTTGTAGTCTTCTTTGATCTTTTATTCTACTTTTATTCTTTTAAACTGACAATTAGTTAATAGCAGCTTTAAAACTATCTGGTGGATAATTAGTATTGGGAGATTTCCTAACACATTTAAAGGTGGAGAAGCCCATTTTTATTCCTTTCTAGGGAGCAGCAGTGAAATGTTTTAAATGATGTCCAGTAATAGGTACCGTAGTTTGCATTCACGGCCATGCATGCAAACTACTGGAATCAAGTCGCAACTGTTCTGTTTCTTCACATCATTTAAATTACTTTGCATATATAAAAGTGTAACATGATTCTCTGAACTTACGGTAACAGCGCTTAAAGGGGAACACCGTTTTTTTTTTCAGATTGGCCCCTTGATTTTACGTTATTACATGGCGCCGTTGCTGCTAATGCTACTCACCCTGCTGTCGGGCTTACAACAGAATCTTCTTCTTCTGGAATATCTCCAGGAAGAACAGAGCAATATCGACGACATAGTTCAGCACCTGAATTTGACTTAACCACGAAAATGGACCCGCAGGGCAACCATGTATAAATATTAGTGCCATGCCCAACATTTCGTCGCTTATTTTTGCTTTGGCACCACAGCGCCACTTACAGGCCTGGCATACATTTTGCAGCGTTTTCATGCATTCGTGTGGACGCTCATATTTATTTTACGTCTCCGTCTTTACGGCAAACGTTTTGGAAAATATCAGCGTTTCGTGTTCGTTTTGACTTCGTGTGGACGGGGCCTAACTATGTGCTCTTTTTGGCACATATTAACTTCTAAAGTACGCAGCTGATAGTTGTTACTGAATCCTCCACCTGAGGTGTGGGTCTTTACAGCTACCCTTTGTTATTCTTGGCTTTTGATCTATCAGCTCCTTTCTCTGTCCAGTCCTAGTTTAGGTTGATTAGTGAGCATATGCTTGTATCATACCCTCTGATTTTCTCAGGTGATGGATTGAGCAGATTTCTGTCAGATGTTAAAAGCCTGGAATATTGTTTTCCAGGCTAAATCTTCTTTAAACTTCTCCATGACTTAATTCCTGACCTGACTGCCTCCTCTGTCTTCACAAGGCTGTTTGTTCTCCTGTTTTCTCTAACAAACCTCTGAGGCCTTCACAGAACCGTATACTAAATTGCACACAGGTGGATTCTTGTGAAGGTAATTGGTTGCACTGGACTTTATTTGGCTGAATATGAAAGCATGCCACTTCTTCTTTAGATTCTTATATGAAACAAAAACAACACCTATAGCTTTCCTTCCTCTTCTATGATTATGCACTTTTTTATGTTGATCCGTTATAAAATCAAATGGGCATAGTCAGATTGTGTGCCTCTACAAAAATGGCTAAAAATTGTCATTTATAATCAATAAGAATATATAACAAGCCCTCGTCTCAATAGAGTTTAAATTGTTCTTTTTTAGCCTAAATTGAATTCCTGCAATGGGTACCATGAGCTGACTTGATCAGGTGTGTGTGCCATCTGCTGGCAGGACCAAGGAACTATCAGAAAGCCAGATGGAGACGATTCAAGCAGCTAGATAGTAGAGTCCAACAACACTACAGTGCATCTGGGTAAAGGGACAGCTCAACGTGGGCTAAGACCAACTGATGTTAGTTAAATAAACCGAGCAACTCTAAAGCAACTTTCAGTTCTGGTAAATCCTCCCGAGAGCTTTCTCTAAGAACATCAAGAGAAAAGAAAGAGACACAGGATCTTTACCTCTTTTTAAGCTTTTTTTCTTCTTGGTATCAAAAGTATTTTTCTAGTATTTTTTTTTTTTATCAGACCGGATTTGATCCTTTTCTTTATTTTACACAACTTCCCTGGTAGGTGCCAACTAGCTTAGCCACATAATTTCTTTGTTTACCCTCTACGCAAATGGGCAGTATCCTACCTCCAGTCACATGGTGTTGCTATGGTAAATATACACTAAGAGCTTTATTTACTGACAAATTAAACTCAACACAAAAAACAGAAATAACTACTAAGCCTACAAACGTCATAAACAAACAGAGTGAGCTACTGGTGTATACATTTAAAGAATGTTGCATAACGTTACTATCCCCCGTTTATGACTGAACTGAAGGTGTGTGGTTATTTTGCAAGTTATTAGTCTCTACAGTGGTTCACATCGATGCCTCTAAAAATGTAGAATGATAAACCTTTAGTCCTATTTGAACTGGAGTCTAAATGATTTACAGAAAAAACAAACTCCTACCAAAGAAAAACTTGTATTCTATCTACTTATGTCTTACGTCTTTTCCTCCTTCGTTCTTTTCCTCCAGGGAGCCATTCTCACCACCATGCTGGTGTCCAGAAACTTCTCAGGTGGGTGTGCCCTTCGCCCTCAGCCTCCCACGCAGCACATGCAGAGGGAGAGGAGGAAGGAGAGTGGATAGAGTCCTCTGCACCTCTTTTAACCCCCCCACCACCACACACACACACACTCACCCACTCACTCATCCTTAAAATAACAATATGCTTTTGTGTGCAGAACAGTTTGGACGCTTAAAACATTAAACTGATCTGAAATGTGATGTTCCTTTGTGTTACAGTAGAACTGATATAGTAGTCGTGATCAATCTTTGAGAGCTGATATGATTTTTATAGACTGTCATGCTTCAGATTATATGTAAGTCTTTGTCCAAGTTAATGTATTTTTCCCTGTTTGTCTGTGTGTGCGTCTCTCTCTTTTTTTTCTGCTGCCACGGAGAGTTTGCATGATTAAGGAAATAGAATTTTAGAAGATTTTTATGAATTGTGTTGGTATAAATGAGTGATGATTAAGATTGTTTTTTTGGTTTTTTTTTGAGCCTTCTAAAAGTGACTTGTTTTTGTTTTGTTTTTTTTGTTTTTTTTTTTGGAGGATCTACCCTCAGTTTACAATGAATTGGTCAGTTGATGGTTAGTGATTTCAGCCTAGACCTGGGAATCTACTGGGGGGGCTCATATTTGCTTCAACCCACTTTTGTCGTAGTGTGACTGTGCATCTCAGTGAATTAAAAGGTCATCGTTGAATGAAACAATTCAGTTTTAAAAAATAGTTTGAGTTTCATTACACACAGAGAGGGTATGTTTTAAGATATTTTCTATGGCTTTCATAAATAAATATCTCCCAAAATTCAGTGTTTTAGCAAATAAAAAAAATAATAAGGCAACAGAAATGGAAAGTTCAGGAAGAATGAACACATGGAGGTAAGAGCACAAAAAGTAGTAACTAATCTAAACCTATTCATGAAACTTAAGATGCAACATAACAAAGAGAGCCATATCCCCAAGAATTTGGGGAGATTCACAAGACCTGCACTACTGCTGGTTTGTAGCTTTAAGAGCATCACACAAAGATTTATAAGGACATGAAAAACAACTCTTGTCCTAAACTAGAGCTGACATCGCACGGTCCTTTTGCTCGGTGATCCAGAGTCCTCTTTTCAGATAAAATTAACTTTGTAATTCTTGGTTAAGAATGTGGTACCAAGGCACATACAGTGAAAGGGAAGTTAAATGGATGGTAAAACTTTTCCAACTTAAACTCATCCTAGAATCTACGGGAGATTATAAATGAAAGATGTGACATCAGTGAAAATCATGCAGTTAAAGCAAAACGGGATTCCTAAAATAAAATCATTGGCTGTATCACGAGCGTATCCCATCCGTGGCCAGCATTTTTATCCTTTTCATTTTTTAATGTTCCAATTTTAATGAATCTGAATTTGAACAATAGCAGTAATCTATAGCAGTGTTCCTCAGAATCATTCTCTGTGTGCAATGAATCTTGAAGTTCAACCTTTTGAGATGACATCCCACTGAGATGATCCCGTATGTGGGCTGTAGCCTTCACCCCCGGTGGTTTTCTAGGCCCAGTAGCAGGAATCGTGAGCTAAGAGCTGCCTATTTCACATAGCTCCTCCCAACTGTAGCATTTCTGTCCAATAGTGGGCCGGCAGCATACCAACTCTGCTGCTGCCGCCTCCTCCACGGCCTCACTGGCTCAGGAAGGTACGTCCCAGAGACACGCCCATCCACTTCCTCTCTACACACACAGTCTTTTTTTGTTTTGTTTTTCAGGGAGGGGGATCCATAGTGCAGGGTGGTCCCCATTACCATCCCCATATTCCTGCATGCAGCCTCATCATTAGCATCGTTACATGACTCCGCATGCATACTCACACAGGTTTTGCTTACTGAGGGTTTCATTGATTTGTTTTGCTGTCTGGCAGAGACATCAGATTTTCACCCACAATATCATGTGCATCAGCATCAGTTTAATAGTAATCAGCTTACTTTGCACACCAAAGTGCTTCTTGCAGTCGCATCTCACCATCGCATCTCAGCCGCATCCATTTCATTCATTCACTAAATTAAGTCCTCGCACCCCTGCGATCCTTTGCCAGCTGGGCCTGGGACGGCTGGGAGTGGGTCAAGCTCGGGCAGGGAATGAGGAGGGGCTTGTATTCTGGGAGCGGGAACCCGATACTGAAGGGGGTTGGCAAGAGCTGGGTTGGCGTGCTGCCATCGTCGGACCTGGTTCTGGAGAAACGGGCAAAAGAGGCGGGTGTAGAGGCACAGAGGGGAGACGCTTTGATTGGGACTCTCTTGGAGTGCTGATTTCAGGTTAGGCTACATAAACACTATGGATATGCAGCCTTCCTGATTAACCTCCAGAGCAAAGTCATCTCAAGGCTCATCTCTCCCTCTAGAGGCCTGTTTCAGTTCTTTGAGTGAAACCCACTCCTTGAAAGTTCTGAAAAAGGTCTCTCCTCTTCTCCCGCCGAGTGAAGACGGATGGCAAAGGTCGGCGATTCCAATGGTGGCTCCTTGGATGAATTAATGAGTAAAAGAGGCAGTGTAGAGCAAAAAAGGATCCTCTGTCAAGTTTAGATGAGAGAATCTTCTTTGCTCTGCAGTGTACATTCATTCCTGCAGGGTCTGTGTGTGAATGGTCAAAAAGAAATGTAGGTTTTGCTCTAAGGATGTGCATTGTTCTGAGCTCTGGGGTGTTTGTGGTACCCTCCAAATGTGGGCTTCCTCTGTGACACTGGACCAAGGTGCCTTTTTGTAAGTTTGTTAATATCATATGTGACGTCATCACTCCAGACTTGATTCCTTATCTCTTTTCCTGTAAAGTCATCTTTTTTTTAAATATATATATCTTTTTAATATTTTGGTTGTTTGTGTGTGTTTTTTTTTTTTCCCCTTATGTCACATGACTGCAAAATCTAAGCCTTCTTGACTCTAACCACTTTACTGCACTTCTTAAAGTCTGGCCAAAGCAGGGCTTTGCAGTTTGCTCTTGATTTGTAAATATTAAATTTAAAGAATCTGACAGATCTGCACATTGTAACCGTAATGTAATCTGTCTGATTTGTTTTGCTTTGCTGCCTTTTGCATGTGGTTGTCCTGTGTGGTGAAATCCTCCAAAATGTTCTCTGGACATGCCTCCTAATGCAGTCTCCCCAGCTGATCAGCACTCGAAGCTTTGCTCTCTGTGCGGGCGTACTCTGGTCGGTCATCTTGATTTAATCTATGCCATCTTGTGCAGCTTGTGATCCTTCAAGATTTATAGGGGAGGCCATAATTGGAAAGCAAACGAAAAAGGCAGACCTACACTGTCACCAGGTGCCTCATAAAAGTATTCACTCACATTTTGTGATATTACAGCCACAAACTTAACAGGATTTTTTTGTATCTGACAGACACTAGGTAGTGAAACATTATGAAGATGAAGGTACTGGTGAAGATTCTCAGTAATTCCAAAAAGTAAAAAAACAATCCACTGGACTTTGTTTCCAAGTTTCGCTTACCATCCAGGAAGCTTTTTCAATTTAAAATGTCGGAATTAGCGTTGAGTTCCCAGCTTCATAGAGTAGCCCAAAAACAAAGCCTTGTTTTGGCCTATAGAACATGCAAATTAAACTGGAAGAATCGGTCCTCCCCTCAGGAATGAGGATTCATTTGGGTTCTTTGTTAGCCTGCAATACCCAATACTGGTCTATGTCTCTGAAAGGGGGTAGTTAGGGGGGGATTGTTGTTTTGAGAGCTGAAACCTGAGTTCACCCCCATTCTGGTACTCAAACGAATTTCCTTTGTCCATGAGGTGTAGATGTACCGCTGAGTCCTGTCCAGAGGACGGAAGCTCTTCTGTGTTTGGCCATGCGACTGTTGAAAGGTTGTTTCTCCAATATAAAGATCGGAGCATTCCTCACTGCATGGAACTGCATTTGCCACTCTGGTCATATTCGGTCCAGTGGTTTTGTCTTTTGGATGTACTAGCCTCTGCTTAAGGGTGTCTGTTTAAGAAGTTCCAGTGGATTGTTTTTTTTTTTTACTTTTTTGGAATGAAGATGAAGGTAAAGAATGAATTACAATTAGACTTCACTATTTTCTTTTTTTCCATTTGTATGCAACCCCATTTCCTTCAGTATAACCGTAGAAATAAGCTTGTAAAATAGCATAAAAACTCCACCTTTGTGGTTTAATCCAGTTACTCTTCGTTCTAATGTTTGTTAGAACAAATGGCATTCTGAAAACCAAGGCATACAGCAGATAGTTTAGGGAGAAAAATGAAATTATGGAGGAGCTGCAGAGAGCCAGAGCTCTGGTTGATGAGCTTTTAGTTGCAAACTCCACCATTCTTGACTTTATAGATGCACAGAAACCTTGCAGCTAGTGCTTCTACATTGTGACTCACAGATGCTAAAAACAAAATGCATGGCACACAACTTGAAAGACACGAGACATTAAAGACACTTGTTTCTGTTCATCCGTAACTTATAATCCTAATACAACAGACTGAAGTTTGTGGTTGTAGCATCACAAATGTTAAAAAGCCAGATTGCTGAAAAGTAGGATGACTGCTTTAGCAGACTGCAGACGGATGAACCACATAGAGCTTCTTAAAATCCAAGATGGACCTGAATAAGATGTCCTGATCAGTTAGCTCTTCTGGTTATGGAATGAAAAAGTTTCTGTCCTCACGTCTTTCCTCTTTGGATGCTGCATGGCTGGGTTGAGATAAAAACTGGCATATCAGCCAAGGTCAAGGAGCATGGTCGTCACTCGATACCGTTTGCTGCTGTAAATGCTATGCCCCTTATCTCTAATCTCTCCTGTAGTGAAATTCTAAGTCCTCTGTTACATCCCTTCCCCTTCCCTACCCCCCTTTCTGTTTAAAGGTAAGAAACACAAGATAAGAGTTGTAAAAACTGTGTGTGTCGGTAAGAAACCAAGTGAAAAGGACGCAGTGTTGACAGCTTCAGACATGGCGGAAACTGGTTGGAGCCCTTAATGAAAATCGATGATTTACATTAACCTAGCTCATCATAGCGAGTGTTGGCTGCAATTTAAGTCTGACCATCCGTCTCTCTTTCTAGATCTCCAGGGTTCCTCGCTGAGACAGGAAATGGATTTAGGAAGTTTACTTTGCTCTCAGGTTTCTCTTTAATCCCCCAGATAGCAGTGAATGGGTTTTGTCAGTGTAGCAACCTGTTCAGCTGAGAGAAAATTGCACCACAGGTCCATTAAATGTATGTTATTCTGTGGAAACATCTAGCTTTAGCTGGCCACAAAGACAGACCTGATAGGGTTTCCTAGATGCAGAAATTGTAGGTCCAGGTTTAATAGAAGCTGAAAGCTGGGTGGATGTTATCAGCTTCAATGAAACTTTTTAACCTGGATATTTCCCCTCCCCTTTTCAACCTCTGTATTTTCACAGCATGCAAAAGTTTACTCAACAAGAAGTCGGATTCTGCCAAGGTGAGCTCGTCCTTTATTCCCGTCAGTCCTCATGTCCTTTTATCGCTTCTCTCTGTTCCACTTTCTGTCTTCGACTCAGTTTGTTTTTTTAATTCATAAACAAGTTACTTTTATTTCTGACTTGCATAGTGTTAAAAGTATGAATAGCAAAAATTTTTTAACTTCATAGGTCGTTTTGTTTTCTGATTCAGAGTGGGCTTTCTATTGGAACATCAGTTCTTTCATTGAACCAATCAAGTACTAGTTCTTCAGTTCTCCAAATGGCGAGAAGCAGGCTCCCCTTAGACCATCTTAGAGCTTTGGTTTCTAAGGAAACAAAGTCGTTGACACATTGATGGACAAATGCTTCCTCAGTTAGTAACGTTCATCATAAAAAATCGAGCCATTACCGTCAGCTTTTGAAGGCAGAGGTGCTGTATGGCTCACTGGAAGAATTTATTTTAACAATTTAAGCTGTGCAGAAGCTGTCATTCTGACAGTTTTTATTCATTCATACAAAAAGAATCTAAGTTCCCTTAGGTGGAGACTGTTCATCTAAAGTTAACTGGATTTCCATGGGTTTTCTACTGTAAGACACTCTTTTGGGTTTCTGAATTAATTTATCAACAGAAACTTTATTAAGTGGTGCAAAGGCAGCTTTCCGGAGATACAACTGTGTTAAGAATATCACCGCCTTGCATGATCAGCATCGAGGAACTTAGATGAACTAAGATGGTTTAAATGAACCCCTGAAGGTCTGAGCCCCATCCTAATTGATTACTAGGAGCAGATCCAAAGAAAAGATGGAGTCAAACATACATGGAAATGATGCTTTACCTTAAAATCAACAGAGATGACAAGGTCCAAGGTGTGGTCTTTTGTCTGTGGGATTAAGGGACAAAGGCCATTTGAACTGAACCGCTTGTTCTTTAATAGATTTATTATAGAGACCCATTAAAAAATGTGAAAGGGTTTAATTAATCGTTGATTCGAATGTTGGAGCGGATACAACTTTAGAATCTTTAGTAGCTAATAGTTAGCCTGTCATGCTTCTCTTTCTAACTTACAAACTGTATTTTTGATTTTGGTGTAAGTTTTCCTTTTTTCCCCATGTGCTTTCCAACATGATTAAAAAAATCAAAAACAGGGAAATTCTTTTTAAATGCCTTTGTAGCTGAGGGTTTGTTAGCCAGGTAACATCTTCATTAGTCAACATCGTAGATTTCGAATGTCAATGTTATGTCACCCAGCCTTCATATCCTTCAGTTTATTGAACCACATTTCCTGTTTCTCTTTTTTCAGTCATGTATTTAGACCCTAAAGGTCCAGTAGTCTCATCCACTGGCTATTAAATTTAATAGGTTTGCTCTTTTTTTCCCCACAGTTGTTCCTGTTTTAATGTTTTTATGCTCTCTCCTCAAGTCGTTTTCCATCAGCCTTCTTTCCACACAGTCTCTCTTCACTTTCAGCTCTCTCCTCCTGCTGACCTCCCTGTCTGTGTTTTTTATTTATTTATGTTTTTTCTTTTTTTTTTCTTTTTTGACCACAAGGGTTTTCTCTGTGTAGTTAAGTGGCATAAGCATGGAGAGTTAGTGAGGCAGTAAAAGGATGATCTAGAAGCCATTCTGTGTCACTCGCCCCTCTCATTTATACTGTTGGCTCTCCATAGCCCACACAAATAGTAGCCCCCATTCCTGAAAAGGGCGTTCTAATTCAAATACATCTGTGTGTATAATTGTTTAGGTTTTGTGTTTCACTCTAAGTGTTTGCGTTTTCGTCCCAGCCTTCTACCAACAACAGTAAGAACAGTATAGTGAGTGCCATCAATGCCCTGAAAGACACCAACATGGCAGCCAACGCCCAGATGGTACAGTAGGCCGTCGCAGTGCCTGCTTTCTCATCCCCCTCCACCTCAAAAGTTGTTGCATAGTTGCCGATTTTTGTATTGGCTTGTTATTTGCTCATCCTCCATCCTCATGCTTGTCATCCCTCATCTACATTCCTGGAGATGTTGCTTCGTATCATTCCCCATCCCAGTAGTGCCAGCTTGAAGTCATACAATCTCCCTAAAGGTGCACAAGTTTTACTGAGATCAATGTAGATTAAAGAGTTTTGAAAATCCTTCAAAATTATTCAATCCTTACTTTAAATCTCAGGCAGCACATGTGCACCTATTTCATTTTTCCCATTATAGATTAGAATATCATTGAAGAGTTAGTTTATTTCACTATTTCACTTCAAGAAGTGGAATCTACTTATATCTTAAAATTCAAGTGTTTATTTCTGTGCATTTATTATGACTTACAATAAATCAAACCACAAATCTATCCCAAGAAAATGTAATCATATGAGGGGAAAAATAAGTTATTTAACACAGCAATAAATGCTATGGCCTTTATAATCATCGGCATTCTGAAAAGAGGGAAAATGACAAGAGTTGACTGCTTAGAGCACTGTTCCCGAGCAAAGTATGGAAAATTGAGTGGAAGGAAAAGCTGTGATTGAAAAAAAATTGCACAAGTAGCCTTTAGAGGCCTGTTAAGCCCAGTTGAGATGGACTAAGCAGGGACCAAGGATAGATGGTGTAAACTAAAGAAAAGTATGGCAAGATGTTGTTAGATATGTAATAAATTTAAAGAAATTATGAAAAACTTTTTTTTTAATCCAATTTGGATGTATTTTTGGGGTACATGCACATCACTGCACTTAACTGGTTGTCATCACAACAACAACAGTGGCCTCAAGTGCTGGAATTCAAACTGGACGGCAAATGGATTCTATTCAATCACATTTTTAATTTATGTGAATGTTATCCATTCTCTGCTCATAGTGCTTTATGCAATCAGATAACCGGGAAGTTATCATCTGAACTTGACCATCAAGAAGAAGATGAGAGATAGACCTAGCAACGCATAGGGCTGCTGTTAATGCAATGCAGCTGTTAAAGGTTCAAACAAGTACATGTTAAAAGAAAGTATGCTGATGTGATTTTCAGTATATTTCTTGAACCATTCAGATAATCTGAATTTGGTGTTTTAATCAGCTGAAAGCCGTAAGTCATTTAAATTAACAGAAATAGGCACTTCAAATAGTTCTGGTTTGTGATTTATCTGTATGATAAATCAGTTCCACTTTTTAAGTTGATTTATTGCAGTAAATTAACTTATCAATTATATTTTACTGAGCTGAGTTGCATCTGTATAGAAAGCATGGGCTTGTTGGTTGGACTATATTCTGCTCAAATCATTCAGCCAGCAGTCGAACTACCAGACATTGTTCTGTTTTATACACTGATTTTATTTATTTTTTATTTTTTTACATCCATTTCCTCTACATAATTCTTCATGCCCCAAACCTTAATCAATACGCTTCTTCCACATTAAGCCTCTATTCTAACAGCTTTTTCCCAATTTCTGAGCCTATCCACCCTGTTTTTCTTTTTTTTCCCTCATAAATTCTTACTAACATGCTGGTTGTACTGCCTTAATCATGCTCTTGTAGCATGCAGTGGATGCTGTGCTGTAGCACTGTGGTTTAAATTAGGTAGTTTGCTTGGAAGGTGCTTCACAACTGGTGTAACAGGTCCCAAAACTTACATTAGACGTGTGTGAGCTAGATCTTCACCTTAATAACTTTCACTTTTCAATTAACAGCTTGGAAGAAAAAAAAAAATACATTTCCAGGTTTGGGAATCGGTGCATAACTCAAAAGTCAAGCCAAAAAAGTAGTGGTAGGAAAGTCTTTGACATGCATGTGAGTCAGTGGAGCAGGCTTAACAAATCTAAACCCTCCTCCATGATGTTAAAGCTGCTGATCCAAAGACCCACCCTGCCTGTGGGACCGAACATGTTTAGGACGGACATTTTAATTTAAATAAACTCAATTTTTGGAAGCTTTTAGATCTATGTTTAGATTTTCTTGTCTGGCTCTGATAGCAGTGCTTGTTCATAATAGTCTTTCTTTTGGTTTGTTTTTAAAACGGAGCCGTGAAAGTTTACCTGCATATCAGTGATGTTGAAAACAAAACGTTATTTTAAAGTTTAAACAACACTTAACCTCCCTCGGTTCTGCAGGCGGTTGATTCCCATCTCCCCGTTTGGCCCTAAAACATCTATTCAGGCTAATGTTCATACGTGGTAGTGGAATCAGAAAACAGATTTTGGATGTTAAGTCAGAAATAAACTGAAGTTTAAAAGGAAGAAATCATAGGTTGCAGTTGAAGCCTATTATTGTGGGATAACATCCCAAAGTAAAGCTTGGAGAGTTGGTTATAATCGTTGGTGTTTTGGGATGGAATAAAGCACCAAAAGGTGACATTTTACCCGTGACCTCATCTTTGTATGAACCGTGCCGTTGTCCCTCTAACAGACAAGGTTCCGCTTGTTTTACATTTGCTCTTATATTCCACTCCTACATCTATCAAACGTTTTATTTGGTTTACCTAAACAATCTGAGCCCCCTCACTCCTGGGTACTAAGTCTACTGAAAAAGTAAGAGGACCCACTAGATTCTTTTTTCCCTAAAAATGATCAGCAGCACATCTGTGCAGTTTACTTCTATAGTTATAGTTAGCCTTTAAGGCCCTTAATTGTAAAAGGTATTAAGAAAGACCAACCCTTTATGGGATGAGCGTCAACAATCTTAGCTGAGTTTAAGTTCATTTCTTTGAGACGATTAACTGTTTTTATATATATATATATATATAGTGGTGGCTGTTCTCGGCGTTGATGTGCTGTGTTAACACCAGACTCGCACTAAAACCAAGGTCCAGCAGTGATGCTCAATGCTAATGCAATGCAAAAATCCAAGGAAATGCTTATTTCCTTATATTCAACTGGTGAAACATTCTTCCGATGGTGCCAATGTTCACATTTAGAGCTGCAACATCCAGAACATAATGTTAGCTTAATATGAACAGACTGCCAACATAAAGAACCCTGTTTAACACAAAACCAGGATAAAATCATGACATTACCCAGCAGCCCTTGCTGCTACACCAGCCTCACATGACATTACAACGACCTGCCTGAGTGACTGGTGGAAAAAGGAGAAATAGAGCTTGGACTGACTGACACAAAGCTACTGACTGTAAACAGTTCATCATGACCTATTTTCTAGGCTTACAGTACAGAATTCGTGTTTATCTGAATAAACAGTTATTAAACACAAATATCTTATTGAATATTATTTTCTTAAATCACCAGTTATTATTGTACAAAAGCTTTCTCAAGCAGTTTGTGATGAACTATGGAAACAGGAGATGAGCCCCTGGTCTAATGCGCCACCTGGCTTGAGAAACCTGTTCAAAGGCTTACTGTTATTATTTACTTATTATTTAGGTAGCGCACACGTCATCCTTATCTTAATTTATTCTTACCCTTATTTTATTCTTAAACCATAATTTTCGGACTATAAGCCGCGACTTTTTCCCCATATTTCGACCTTGCGGCTTATATAACAATGCGGCTTATCAATGGACATTTACAGCTAACGGCCACTAACGTAATACCTAAATCTATGGATTTTACCATCCACGATGTTGACGTCACATTTGCCTTAACATACAAGTATGGTAGCCGCGCGTGGGGGAATGCGGAGGTCCTCCGGAAGCAGACTTTTACCGCGAGTGGTACGAGACAGAACGGCAGCGAGAAAGAAGGACATTAAACATAAAAAACCTGCGGCATATAGTCCGGTGCGGCTTTTATATGTACAAATCATGCAATTTAGCTTCTGCGGCTTCTATTCAGGTGCGGCTAATAATCCGAAAATTACGGTATCTTATAAGGGTGTGCAAAATAATCGTCATGACGATGCATCGCGATTCTAATTTTTGTGATCTACTGCATCGATTCTTGAAGGCAAGAATCGATTATAAAAAATAAAAAAAATGAACAAATAAAATACATGAATGGTTGGCGCACATCAGCCAAACCAAGTGGAATACAACTTCCAGTCCAGCAGTTGTCACTGCGGATGTGTTGACGCCCGCTGCCTTGTGTCACAAGCATTTCCGGCCGTGGGATACTGCCACGAGTCATATGAAATAAAACATGGAGGACACTATGAAAATTAGCCCCGCGGCTCCATCACATTTCAAGTCAGATGCTTGGATGCATTTTGGCTTTAAAAACAAAGAAGGTAAAAATGAAATTGATATGAGGCATGTAATTTCCAAAAGGGGAAATATACATTTGAATGTTTTCGTTTCATTGGTTTAAAGGACCACTAAACGGCACTCATTATCCTTATTTTGTTTTAAGTTTGATGAATCCTAAGATCTTTTTGTCAGTGTGTCCACGCCAGTAATAGTAATATTTCTGTCCAGTATTTGTTTTCATGGCAACACCTCCAAAAGTCATTTCAATAAATACAGCTATGTATGAATTCAGTTGAAATGCATCGCAATATTTCAAGTATCATGATGCATCGTGATAGAATCGCATTGTGGCATGTGAATCGTGATTCGAATCGAATCATGACTTCTTTGCCAATACCCACCCCTAGTATCTTATTTGTACTTAGAATCTTATTTTTCTCTCTTCTGTAAATGATTGCACTGCCAGAAAAAAATTCCCGCAAGGGATTAATAAAGTAATTGTGATTTTGATTCAGGAAGCCCTTTGGGAGAATTCAGACGAGCCATTTTAATCTAGATTAATTCCAAGATTACAGTGAGATTAATCTAGATTAAAAAATGTATCTATGCCCACCACTAAAATATATATATGTGTGTGTGTTGCGACATTATCATGAAAGAGAAGCTACAAACTCTTGCACACATTTACACCTTAAATCAGCTAATATTCCTCTTGAAACATAATGTAGGCAAGCATTTGTCCGCATGGCCCTGAAGTGGTTACTGCTAGACTTGTATTACTTGGCGCTGTATTAAAATATCTGTAAGCATAAAGCCTTTTACACTCATTGCTCCAATAAAGTAGGAATGCTCTGTTCACTCTGTTTTACAGCAGTCACTCAGACTGCTGTAAAATAATTGGGGCCGGTTTTAAACCCAGTTGAGATGCACTGTTTCAGGACAAAGATGTTCCAGACTGACTGTTCCGTTCTCTTCTGCAGGAGTCTCAAAGCACAGTGGTGCACAACCCTCCGGATGGAGTCAAGGTTAGACTTTTCTCTTGCTGGATTGGAACACAGTGAAGCTTAGCTAGACTTGATCTTTGGTATTGTCTGTGTTGGTTTAAGTGTCAGTTCCTCCTCTCGCTCCTCAGGGATCGACGGAGAGCAACGCCACAAACGACGAGGAGGAAATGAAAGGTAGGAAAGGTACTCATGTGTTTTATTCCCTTTTTTCCTGTTTTTATTCACTCTCTTTCTTTCTCCCTTCCTGAAGTGTGTGTATTTGACTGTAGTGATCAGCAAGTTTGTTGCGGTCCGAAGCCAGCCTGTCGTATGTGTGTGTTTGTAACTATTGTGTGTTAGCAGACAGTTCAGCGCTGAGTCAGAGCAGCGCCGCTGAGGAGATGCCCCCTCTTCTGCCCTCACCTCAAAGCTCACCTGCCAGTAAGTTTATCTACGGCAAAGAGAAGCTATATGGTTGCCCATACCCCCTACAAGGACCTGACACCCACCCCCCCCCCCCCACTCCCACCACGGCTTCTTCCAGTCACTGGCAGTGACTTCTTACATATTTGAGCTCCGCTCACACTCTGATCCACCATAGGGCTCCCACTGGTTTTCATGGATTCTGGTTAAATATCAAAGAATTAGATTCAAAAGCAGTTTAAGAAAAGTTAAACTTACTGCAACCTGGATATTATTAAACTGCAGTAACCCTATTTTCTTTGTAAGATGCTGCTTAAAAAAAACTTCAGCTCCCGTTTTTTTTTTGCCTACTAAGTTGGCTTAAATAATTAATAAATAAACATATTGTTTATTGGTAGAAATTTGTTTTCCTGGAAGTTATTATTCTTAAATAGCTAACAAAACGTCTATTTATTTCAGTAAATAAGTTGAATATATTCATTATCTGGAGGCAGATTGATTTCTGGCTTTCTACTAATGTGCATGATCAGGAAAAACCCACAGACCAATTTCACAGATAATTTGAATATTACATAATGTAATAATTGTGCAGAAATTTCTGCCTTCTGAAGATCACCTCTTGGTTTGGGCTTTTATTGTAAAAAAAAAAAAAAAAAAAACCTTATCATTGCGGTGTGGCAGCAGCCAGTCTCTGGCTCTGCTAAGGTAACACCTAATCAGAAGACTTTGATTATAGAAAGCAAAATTTGGTGGGCTAACGCCAGCAGATGATATGGCTCCGCATTCCCTCGCTGACTATGGAAGCAACTTCGATTGTTTGGCCTCCCCTCTCTTCTCGAGTTTCAGACTCATTTGCAAATAAAATGTAAACTTTCTTCGCTTCGAGAAGGACCTTTGGCAGCTGGGCAACAGACCAGTCCTGGTGAGCCATCACTGATGGTTTGACAGGACTGACAGTGAAAGTCCAGGAAATAGAGGGTTGAAGGTGATTCCAGCTGTAGAAGGTTCACATTTTTCACCTTGTTTCCAATTATCCCTGCTGGTTTGTTTCTATCCCACTTTTTCCTTATACTAAACTTTCCATTAACGTACTAGAATGCATCCATCTTAACAGGCAGTTTCTTTATCAGAGACCTTATTATGGACTTGTCTCATTGTAGAAGTTGTCTGCTTGACAGCTTTTAAATAAGCAGTCCTCCCCCGGTTGTTAAAGCTCCTTTTGCAATTTTTCCTCACAGAAAAATGCATTATTGCTCTTTAATAATGTTTGAATTTTATGATGAACTAAACAAATCATACACATAATTAAAAGCCGTACTCATGCTCTTTAGTTGATCTGAAATCCAAAAGCACCGTGCCCTCACAGCTGATTGTAGTAACTTAGAACAGTGGGGGAGCGCCGCCGCATCTCCAACGCTTCAGAAACGTACCGGGTAGATCCGCCCTGACTGGCTACAAACATGCCACTGTTATATTTTTGCCCCTCTCCTTGTTAACCTGGAGCAGATCGTTCAGGCAGGAGGTTAGTTGACGAAAACAGTGGATCCAGTTCAGTTTACACATAATATATTTTATGTACTTTTATGTCATAAAGGATTCTGTTCATACAAGTCATTGAAAAATATATATATATATATATATTTGAACTCGCTTACCCGACAAAGAAATTAACTTTTCAGGTTTATGTTGAGCCTACAAGCACACTGCTGTTGCATGATGATGCAATCCTTGCATAATTAAGGGATTCATAAACTTTTCCTGCTGGATCCCCCCCCCCCTTTAATTAAAAGAACAGTTTTAAACCCCATTAATTACAAAATTTTCTAGTCTATTCTTTGTTTGTTTTATAGAAATATAGAAATAGTTGACTTTTCCTTGTTCAATCTTCTTAACATTACAAAACCACGATGATAAACAGTAATTATTACTATTCAACAGAATTCAAAGTTACTATTAATGCATCTTTCCTACTAATGCTTCTCAAAATAGGTAATTTATTCAAAAATTTCTGCACAGAGGTGCTGCGCTCAAACACCCTCAGGGGAACAAGTCTCCTGGCAGGATGCACGAAATGCACTTCTTACCCTGACCAACTTTAAGGTCCCATCTTTTCCCGAAAAGCCCCCGATAGGATCTCTGTTTCTGGCCACTTGTGGAACCTTTCAATGTGTGTGTGTGTGTCTCTTGGTGACCACTCTCTATAACCTGGTGGAGGTCTAGCTTACCTCCCTCTCTGCCAGCCCACTCCCCATCTGACTCTTCTGGAACCCTGCACAGCAGCGCATCATGTTTCTCTTTGTCTCCCCTCTATTCTGTTTGGCATCTTTTGTTTTGTTAATATTCTAAGCTTTCCGCTCTTTCCTCCTGTGTGAAATGTTTCCTCTTTCTACTCTGAAGCTTTCTATTTTTCCTGCCATTGAAAGAAAACTTAAATTGTTTCCTTGCCATTCCCTTCTCTTGATGTCCATTTTCCATTTCTTCCTTCTTACTAGAAGATGCTGACTCCCTTTATGCATAACATAAGCTAATAACAAGCAATAGCTTCGATTTTCTCTGCATTTGAAGCTACTGCTCATCACAGAAAGCCCTGTTAATCCATATGAACATTATGAGTAAAGTAGTCACAAAGCATCCCAATTAGAGCTGTATGGCCCCTGCTTCCTGGCATCATGTTACCCATCTTCTCGTCTCTCATCAAACTCAAGTTGGAGCTCTAAATCCTACCAGTCCTACTGAAACTACCCCCACATCCACCTTATCCCCACAGTTTTTTTCTTTTTTTTTTCTTTTTTTTTTTTTATGCATGGAAAGTTTACCCACAGTGCATTTCATTTTCCCTGTTGTCCACCCCCATGTTTGTTGACCCTCCATTGTTTGTTTCAGTTCCACCGCATGATGTAAAGCGCATGGCATGGAACAGCACGGGCAACAGCTCCTGCCCCGACTCAGACCAATCACAGTCCTCCATCCCTGCCGCTCCACTAGGGAGCAGCACTGTCGCTGCTAAAAGCAACACTAAGCAGAGTAAGAGCACCCATCACTAACCGACTAACCCAGTTATCCCTGCCTTCTGTTTCCTGTTCATCTCTGAAGTTAAACATCGTTCCAAAGTCTTTTTCACCCTTTGGCAATTTTTCTTTTCTGTAGAGATTCGGTTATCATATTTTTGGTCAGCCTCTAAGGTGGACTTGATCTTATTATTTATGCGACGGTAAAAAAGAAAAGAAATACGTCGCCACCAGAATTTTTTTTCTGTAAATTAAAATCACCACAAATTAGCCGATAATGTTAAAGTGACGGCATGCTTTTAGACGTTTAATCTTAATGTCCAAAGACATGTAAATATGCGTGACATTAAGCTCAGGGGTATTTCCTCTGGTTACGCTTAAAAATAGTTTTTGAAATTTTGACTGGAGTCTGTTTTTGTCTGTATTACCTGATTTATTTGGTGGATTTCCCCTGATTTTTTTTGCATACATTAGTAGCTTAATTAGCGCTTTCTTTACTCATTAGTTAAGTGCAGGCTCTGTTCCAAATCAAAATTAGGACTCACATTTTGAACGCTGGGTTCTGGACTCTGGTCCTGGAGTTTTTCCTTATGAAGGAAAAACACGTCCACTCTGCCTCCGTCATCATCTACACTGCAATTCACTCACTAAAGGCCACTTTTCCCCTACAGTGTCTGCTTTCTCTTTGTGCTACAATCTCGTGCATTGCTTGGTATTAGTCTGTTAAAGTTGCAATGAAAACTGTTAGAGCTCTATTTAATCCTTAAAGGTTTTAATACATTTGCATGTATTTTTTTAATCCAGGCTGGTGGATCCCTGGTTGAGCTAAAAGCCTTTGAAACTATTGCCCCATTTACACTAGCCCTCTGAAACCGATCCGTGCCGAGTTCGGACAGAGCTTTGATCAGTTAACCGTGCCGAGGTTGTTGTTTTTGTTTTGTTTTGGGTTTTTTTCAACCATTTCACATCACATTAGTACGGTTCCTTGCCTCCTATCCACGATACTACAGCTCTCAAGGCGGGGATTACGCTAACAAAATGGCGGCGCCTACAACATTCAAGAACCTATGGGCCTGGGTAGCGTCCTCCGCCTAACTTTCAGTTAGAGTCTCTGCCTCATCAAGGTCCCACCACGCTCTTTTGATGCCATATTATTTTTAATAGGCTGAGAAGAAGTTCATGTTCTGAAGAGTTAAAGAGATCTGTGAATTGCAAAGCCGGACACGCTGAAAACCTGCAAAATGAGCCAGCTGACCGTAAACAAAAGATGACGCGGCCTGCTCACGCGCTCTTTGTTATCAGAGAACTAAGCCACAACTGAGCCGTGCCGAGCCCTACTGTTGAACTAATACTAGATTTAGTACGGTTCAGTTGTGTCTGGCACGGTCCAGTTTTGCTGCGTTCTATTTACACCTACAGTTATCTCTGTTACCATGCTCGGACCGTTCTCAGTACGGTTTCAAAAGGGTAGTTAGTGTAAATGGGGCTTAATATTATATGAGAATATTTTGGTATTTTTTTGTCACTGTTCGTTTCTTGTAATCTTAGGCAGATTGTTTTGCATCTACTTGTGATTTATCTAGTTAAAATTCATTCAATGTAAGATTAAATTGAATCATTATCCCTCAGCTCTGTTTGGCCTGTTGTTTTGTTTTTTTGGTATATTTGGTATGGCAAACAGTTAATCTATCTTGGTTGATCTGTCATTTCTTCTATTCTCTTCGGATTTCAGAATGAGCAAAGCTTCATGTTAGGCTCGTGATGAAAGCTGATAGTCTGACCCTTGAGCTGAGATGTTTTTGTCAGCTGAAATGTGTTTACTGACAGAAGTTGTTGTGCTTGGTGGCGGCGTCTGATCCCACCAGAGTTGCACTGAAGGCGAGAACGTTGAGCATCTCACCACAGTGTGGTCAAGCTGCAGTGAGGAAGCGGCTTCGGTCCGATGTCTAGCGTTAAAAAGGGTCGTTTTGGGTCGTGTTGCATGAAGGCAGGCAGCAGCCCAAGTTATGGTTGAACGTTGTTAAAATTACATGGCTTCTAAGCAACCCTCCATCTGTTTCTGCTTCTCTTCCTTTCTGTAGGCCGTAAACAGGAGATCATCAAGATAACCGAACAGCTGATTGAAGCAATCAACAATGGCGATTTTGAAGCCTACACGTGAGTGCTGCATTTCTCTATGGGAAGAAATCAAATTTGTCAAAATGCACAAACCAGCAGCTGTTGCTCATAAATCAGATCGCTTTGCAAACAGTTCCTTGTAACATAGAGGGAGAGCAGTAACTTCATCCTAAATCCTTTTATTTTTTAGCCTTTTCATTGTGAGCATCTTCAGCTCTCACTTTGTTTTCTCCTAGTATGACCTGCTGAGATCAAGGCACCTTACCACATACCAGCTTCTGGCAATATGATGGATATATATTAAATCCATCTTATCTTCCACATCAAGCTATTTTTGTGTACCAGACGAGGCAAAGCAGTCCCAGAGCATCACTGAACCACTGCCATGCTTTACTGTTGGAACAGCATTTTTATTAATCATCTGTCTGCCTGATCAGTTTTATTTCTAATTCATTCCAAACAACCAAATCTCTATTTTATTTATATGTTTTTAAGCAAATTAGAGCCAGCTAATTTATTTTTTTACTTATTTTTACTTTTGATTTAAAGTTCATGCAGTATTTGAAAATTCTTGATCTTATAAAGATTTTTGTTTAGAGTTGAATTCTTTTTGGACCTTAACACTGATTAGTTTAAGTTATATTAACTGTTTGTGTGTAATTTGTTGAACTAATGCCTTTAAGGATGATTTGCTGGTTTATTATTTTAATTACAAATGTACTGTTTTGACTTTCAGGAGGATTTGCGATCCTGGACTCACCTCTTTTGAACCAGAAGCTTTGGGGAACCTGGTGGAAGGCATGGACTTCCACAAGTTCTACTTTGAAAACTGTGAGTGTCCCCGTCGACATGCAGGAGATAAAACAAAGCTTTCCCCTGGCTGATGTTTGTTTTTAATTTCTATTGCTTTGGATTTGATCTATTTCAATCCTTTATTCCATTTAATTGATGTCAAATAATAAGGACTGTTACAGGTTTCCTGCGCTGATATCGACTAAACAACTGGAAATGTTGTTCAGCTTTCAATAAAATATAATAGATGTTTGCATGTATTGTTTTAATATGTCTAGTGCTGAGCAAGAACAACAAGCCTGTGCACACCACCCTGCTCAACCCTCATGTGCACCTCATCGGCGAGGACGCCGCCTGCATCGCCTACATCCGGCTCACGCAGTTTGTCGACTCCACGGGCCGCCCTCGCTCCAGCCAGTCCGAGGAGACCCGCGTTTGGCACCGCCGCGATGGAAAGTGGCTCAATGTCCACTTCCACTGCTCAGGAGCACCTGCTGCACCACTACAGTGATCAGGTACAAACCCCCGGCCCAGCACCCCTTTCTTTGTGGTTTTTACACTTTTTCTTTCAGACTTGTTAACAATTTTTTAAAGCGGTTTGAGAAAATAAGAAGAAAAGCCCCAAAGCTATACTTGGTTTAAAAAGATGGAAAACATGGGCTGTTTATAGGAACTTTGGGGACATGCGTCAGATAAAGATGAGGTTTATTTCGGTATTATTAAGTTTAGAAAAACAATAAAAATCACAATAAAATACTCTGTTTTATATTCATCTGGGTTCTGATAGACAAAATGTAAACGAGTTTCTGACTATAAACCCAGAATCAGCTTCTAAAGTTGATCTGTTATGATTATTGTTACGCCGAATGTTTTAAAAAGTGTTTTTGGTTCGTTTTGGGACAGTTTGAGCTGAACTCTAAACATGCTGCTCCTTTTCTCCCCCTCCCTCAGCGGCCCTGAGGCTCCAGTCCTCTGGAGCGAGTTTATTGGGGTGCAGTTTTTTTCAGCGAGCGTGTTTTAAGAGGCGCATCCTCTGCGTGGATTGGATGGTGCAGGAAGCCCGGCCGGGCGAGATCGCATCCCTCTCCACGTTACCAACCAACCCCGTCCCTCCTTTGACCTGACGGAGGCCGGCTGAGCACGAGAAACCCCGCCACCCCCAACCCTGACCCCTCCATGAGATGATGATGATGATGCATGCATCTGGCGCCTGACTGGAGGGCGCAGCTTTGCCCTCTTGTCCCTCCCCTGGCAGCCATCTTTTTCCTGCCTGTGCGAGATGACACGTCCTGGGGGAGGAGAGGATATACAGTTGAACTTGTGACAGTTTGAGTATGAGTTATGAATATACTGTGTAAATTATGGCTAGATGTACCAGAAACCACCAAAACCCAACCAAGCATTTATCTTTATCTGGAAGAAGAAAAAAAAAAGGGAGGAGCGGAGGGGGAGTGCTTAGATTTTGTACAGGTTTAGGGATTACCAGGTTGGAAGAGTTGTCCTCGCCACCTGGTTGTTGACATGAAGGGATAATGTTCCTCAGCTGAGTTAAAGAGGGAAAGAAACGATTTTTAAAAAAAGATAAAGAGATTCACTCTGAGAACTTGATGACGAGAGAAACTTGATATCAAAAACACGAAGCACCAAAGTGTAGAACTTTAGTGTAGGCTTTCTACGTGTTTGTGTTTTCGTCCGTGTGCTTGTTTTCCGACGGATCGGAAGTCGTCGTCGTCGTGGGATTGGGGTACTGGGAGGGAACCATTAGGGGAGGGGGGTGTCTGAATCGAGGTCGACTTGTGGTGTTTTTAGTCCTGATCCGTCTGTGTTCTTGTGGATAACAGGAGCCATTATTCGTCTTTTTTCTTTCCAATTGTCATTTTATTTTTCACTGACTGACTATAATCAAGGCTGCTTTTTGTAGGGCAGCTGAGATGTATTCTTTTTTTTGTTGCTTTTATTTTAATAAGGGTTTTAATTGTGCACATTTAAAGCTAACCGCGTTATGTCGTGTGTTTATATGCAGTGTAGGGAGGAAGAGGAGGAGGCCCTTACCATGAAAAGCCGCCCGCATTCTGCATGTTTGCTCGCTGCCTCTCCCTCTTTTAACCCCTCCCCAGTCTGTTACTCTGCAAGGGCCTGGTTTGTTTATAATCACTGTGTAAATACAGTGTTTGTATAGATATATGTAGAAAAGTGTAATATATGTACATGTATCTAAGAGACACTCATCCTGTGCATTTTGGGGAACCACCCCCCCTCCTGTAACTCCCACTTTCGTTAAGAAAAAAGAAAAAGATTTCCTCGACATTTTAAATTCTCAACCCTGAAGTATTTGAGGTAAAGGTTACTTTAATAAATAAATCTGAGCTAGCAAATTCTCCTATAGTCTCTCCCATGGCCAAACGACTGTTTCTGAAGATGGGGAATAAAGCAAATGCAGAGATGGAGGTAATCCACCCCCCCTACCCCTCCAAAACGAGACTCCGGTTACTATTTTTAAAGAAACTAGTGTCTGTAACTCCTGGTCCCACGATGCTGTGAGCCGTCTTTTCATATCATATGCACCCACGCACTCCAGGCGGCGTGTTTTTAGGCTTTGTAACATATCTGCACCGCTGCTGTGACCGGCGCCGCCCTCGTCGTGCTGCTTTAGGTGTCCTCCCTCCTTGATATCTCCATTTGACTGACCCTCCCCCTCCTTTTCTGCTCTTGAAATGATTATTTGTTCCTTTCTCTGTTGTTCCCGTGTTACTGGTTTTAAGTTTTTATTATTATATTATTATTAATGTTGCTGTTGTTGGTTGGTATTTTACCAATCTGCCAAGCTGGAGTTCTGCACTCTCCCTCACATACATGTAGAGAAAAAAAAAAAAAAAAGGGAAGAGGAAGTGAAGACAACAAAAACTTAAGGGATATTGATCAGGACTTAATTATTTATCCGTGTAATCTACCCTCGGTGGTTTTATATGCCGCCTGCTGAGAGGAGAGAAATGGTGTCGATGTGCAGGTTTGTGCCACCAGAGCGGGACACCTACTTATTTGCATGTTTCAGTTACACATTTCTATCACAAAATATGGATGGAGCTAGTGTTAATATATGATATTTGCATCTTTTGAAATTTCATCCATCCAGAATGTTGAATTAAGTGATATGAAAATATAAAGCAAAATTTTAAAAAAGGTAAAAAAAAAAAAAAGGAAAAAAAAAAAAAAAGATTCAGGCGCCGTAGCTTGTTATGAGGCCCTCGATGTTTTCCCTGCGTTGTAATGAAATATTATCGGGCTGCGCTTTCCCCTCACCCCCCCTTACCCAGCCTTTAGATGGATGCTGGGTTTATATTTTTCTGGCTTTGTTTTATTTTGCATGATCACGTTGTACGATGATAACAACCATGAATTGCCGACTATCAAAGTGTTTGTCTGAGTGTTAGTTGGTCTTCATCATAGCTTTGTTATTCTTCAAACTTGGATCTTGAAAGTATTTAATAAAAATACTATTTCAGCACTGCTTTGTCTCACTGGATTCGTTCATTTTGCACATTTCATCTCAGCCTTTTCTCTGAATGCTTCTCCAGACCTTCCATGTATTTCAGGTTTAAACAAATCTTAATGCTGTTTTTTTTTACTGTAGACACTCAGTAGTAACCTTGCAGGGTTTCCACAGGTCATTAAAATTAATTAAAACTCATTAAATAATTATTTGATTAATTAAGCCCCGAATTGGCATTAAAATTCATTAAATGTAATTATTAATGGCATTTAAAATGCTTTATTTAGAAAAAACCTGTTTATTAAACGGTATATATATATATTTGCAAATATATCGCAATATATTATATGGCGACATGTGCATATTTGCGCGGAACTTCCTCCAGTTGATCGTAAAGCCGTATGTTTGCAAAAGAAGCTCGAGGCGGAGAAAAGGCTTGAGAATGGGGGAAAATGCTAATTTCAACAAAATTGGCTGGAAAACGAGGAATTGCAGCCTGTCGACGGTAAAGATGAAGAAGGAATTTGCCGTGTATATATGACAGTCGTGGGTACTTGTTGATGGCATTACAATTATTTTTAAGAGCATTTAAAAGCATTGAACTATAGTTGCTCATTCCTGTATAATCCCTGACTTGGTTACATAATCAAAATGGTCATCAAAGATGGCTCTTGGAAAAAAGTTTTAATGATTGTGGCTTACAGGTAATGGGGAAAAAAAGTCTACTTCCTTGGAACATGAACATGTCCCAAGACCATTCAAATAATATATTATATAAAAGTTAAGGAGAAAACTGCAGAAATGTTGTTCCATCAAGGTCAATCTACAAAACCCACCCTAAGGGCTGAAATCATGTAAATTTAGATGGAAAATTTTATAGGAGGACAAAAAAGACAGCAAACCTGGGTTTCTCTAAGCTTATGCAGTGACTTGGAAATAAATCAAGCTGGGGACATAATTTGATTTCCTGGAAACTAATTGGAACTGAGCAAAAGTAACTTGAACAGGTTTCTTAATATTGACTGACAATTTTTGTTGGACATGTAAAATCCCGTTTTTGTGGTTTTTAATTACCTTCTGATATTTTCTAAACAGCTAGCTGAAAGAGGGATTTTTTTTTACTTTATATTTACAAATTTGCAGCAGATTTAGATGTGAATTTATCTGGCAAAATGAGCAGCAATAAGGTCCTCACAACTCTTTGTTTGGCCTGATTAAAGACTCAGAATTTTTCCAATATCCAACATAGTTTGACTGTGATGTATTTTTCACTATGATAGAGACAAAGTGTAGAAGATGTACAGATTGATGGAATAGGATAGTCAAGGAAAAGAGTTGGCACTTAACCACTGATCTGTTATAAAAGCAGGTGGAAATAAAATCCCAGAAACTGCTTATCTAGAAAGATGCCAATAGTCTTGATTTGACCCAAATATTATATTCAACATGTCAGAGTAAAAATCTAAATGGTATGGTGAACATTGAATAGTTCCTTAAAAGAAAGGCTTTTAATGTTTCTATTTTTTGCCATTTAGCAAGTTTTACCAAATATCTTAAGGGGGTTTTGGTGTTTGTAAAGATTTGAAAATTTTATTAATTTAACTTATCCCCTTTAACCTGGTTTCTTAAATTAATTCCTGTAAAATCTTAACAACGTAAGTAGTTTTTAGTCCAGCTGTCTGTAATGAATCTATTGAGCTAATTACATGGTTAGGTTATAGAGAAAATATTCAAAGCATCGTTTTTCATTAGTCAATGGCATTGATAAAAAAAAAAATAAAAAAAAAAAACTGTAGAAGAGACGTAGGCCCAATCTGAATCGGGCCCTAAACACTTTCCCTAAGCACTAACCCTCAGTTTGTGTATTTCCAAGGAGGGCAAGTGGACATTTCAGACCTTAAATAGCGAGTCTCCATCGGTGAAGTGAAATGTGAATTAATAGCAGAAGAAACAAATGTAAGTTCATCTTTGTCACAGTGGCAAAATAAAGTTAGGGGGAAAAAAGGCATCATTAATTCCAAAAGATGTCTATTTTAAATGTTTTTATTCAGCTGTATATATTTATTTTTAAGAAAGGGGCAAATTTTCAGAAGTCATCAACCTACGTCACAGAGCTACAGCTATGCACATGGGGCATCACTGTGCTGCCATGGCAACACCTGCAGAACCCCAGACTCCGGTAGGCCTAGGAGAAGCAGTACACTATATATTGATAAATGTCACACTTTTTCATTTGTAAAATAAACCTGTAACGCCACATTTTTCTAATTTCACAATGCTGTAACTGCTTAATATATTTTCTCACAGATGATACATCTAATGTCACGTATGTAGGCCGATGAACTGACAAGGAACAAATGCTTATTCCAAGAAATCATCAGGACTTTGTTTTCCAAGTTTAAAAATGTTTCGCTTCCCATCTAGGAAACTTTCTCAATTCAAAATGTGGATTAGCTCTGAGTTCCAGGCTTATAGAGTAAACAAAGCCTTGTTGTGGCTTAGAAAACATGCAAATTGAACCTAAAGAACAGGTCCACCCCTTAGTAATGGGGAGTCGTTGAGGTCGTTGTTGGCCTGCAAAACCCGATACTGGCCTATGCCTCTGAAAAGGGAAAGTTGAGGGTCATTGTTGGGCTGGCTGATCTGGCGAGATGCTTTGCTCCCCTGCTTGACGATGGGGGTTGAGATTTTCTAAACCATAACGAGGCTTTGTTGTGCTACTTTATAAAGCTTGGAACTTAACGCTATTTCAGACATTTTTAATTGAAAAAGCTTCCTGGAAGGGAAGCAAAACGTCTTCAAACTCGGAAAGCAAAGTCCAGCGGTTTGTTTTTTAACTTTTTTAATTTTTTGGAATGACTATGAACTGGATGACTGAGAATCTTCATCAGCAACGAATGCTCATTTTAAATATATGAAATTAAATCTTTTGAACTATTTTTTAAATATTATTTTGACCTTAATCCACAAAGCTACTTTAGCAACAAATTTTTTTAGACCGTGGAAATGGATAAGTTCAAAGCTTATGTAATAATTCAACTCTAAAACAATAAATACACTATATTGCCAAAAGTATTTGCTCACCTGCCTTGACTCACATATGAGCTTAAGTGACATCCCGTTCCTAATCCATAGGGTTCAATATGACGTCGGTCCACCCTTTGCAGCTAGAACAGCTTCAACTCTTCTGGGAAGGCTGTCCACAAGGTTTAGGAGTGTGTTTATGGGAATTTTTGACCATTCTTCCAGAAGCGCATTTGTGAGGTCGCACACTGATGTTGGACGAGAAGGCCTGGCTCTCAGTCTCCGCTCTAATTCATCCCAAAGGTGTTCTATCGGGTTGAGGTCAGGACTCTGTGCAGGCCAGTCAAGTTCATCCACACCAGACTCTGTCATCCATGTCTTTATGGACCTTGCTTTGTGCACTGGTGCACAGTCATGTTGGAAGAGGAAGGGGCCAGCTCCAAACTGTTCCCACAAAGTTGGGAGCATGGAATTGTCCAAAATGTCTTGGTATGCTGAAGCATTCAGAGTTCCTTTCACTGGAACTAAGGGGCCAAGCCCAGCTCCTGAAAAACAACCCCACACCATAATCCCCCCTCCACCAAACTTTACACTTGGCACAATGCAGTCAGACAAGTACCGTTCTCCTGGCAACCGCCAAACCCAGACCCGTCCATCAGATTGCCAGATGGAGAAGCGCGATTCGTCACTCCAGAGAACGCGTCTCCACTGCTCTAGAGTCCAGTGGCGGCGTGCTTTACACCACCGCATCCGACGCTTTGCATTGCACTTGGTGATGTATGGCTTGGATGCAGCTGCTCGACCATGGAAACCCATTCCATGAAGCTCTCTGCGCACTGTTCTTGAGCTAATCTGAAGGCCACATGAAGTTTGGAGGTCTGTAGTGATTGACTCTGCAGAAAGTTGGCGACCTCTTCGCACTATGCGCTTCAGCATCCGCTGACCCCGCTCCGTCAGTTTACGTGGCCTACCACTTTGTGGCTGAGTTGCTGTCGTTCCCAAACACTTCCATTTTCTTATAATACAGCTGACAGTTGACTGTGGAATATTTAGGAGCGAGGAAATTTCACGACTGGATTTGTTGCACAGGTGGCATCCTATCACAGTTCCACGCTGGAATTCACTGAGCTCCTGAGAGCGACCCATTCTTTCACAAATGTTTGTAAAAACAGTCTGCATGCCTAGGTGCTTGAATTTATACACCTGTGGCCATGGAAGTGATTGGAACACCTGATTCCAATAATTTGGATGGGTGAGCAAATACTTTTGGCAATATAGTGTATGTGCATATTTATTTCATTACGTATTTATCTGGTGACACAAAGAAGCCCCTTTGAAGGAAAAACAACAAAAGTCCCCGAATGAAATGACATTCTCTGCCCATACAGGCCGGACATCACCCTGTCGCCCCCTAACTGATTACAGTTTAGTTAGTAAGGCCTTCAGTCCTGTTTGAGCAGGATTCCTGCTAGTATTGGCCATGGTCCGAGTTATTTTGAGGTTTTTCTGTGCTTGTGCATCTCTGGGATGTAGGACAGCTCCCCTGGTTCATCTGCTTTCTGTGTGAGTAATGAGGGGAGCTCAGCAGCTGGTTAACTTTAACACTCACACACCGACTTTATCAAAGACACAGAAAGGAGAAAACTCATGGGGGAATGTGTCTGGTAGCCATTGCTGAGCTCTGACTTTTCACTGCCAAAGAAATGAGGAGAAAATCCAGACCG